TAACCTGGAGGAGGTGTGTGGGGATAAAACTTGATTGCTTCATCAATTTTAAAACATATTACGCTTAAGACGTAATGTAAAGCACTTTGGTAGGCTACTGGCTGATTTAAAAAAAGGTGAGTGACTGAGTGAGCGGTGTCGGTCTTGCCTCAGCCCGCACTAGGGATAGGATCGATTCCTATGGTTGAATTTTTTTTTGAGTTTTCAAACTTTCCGGTTCACAAACGGCCTTCAGGAATGAATGAAGTTTGAAAATCGAGGTTCCACTGTATTCATAATTATATATTGAATTAGCTGTCTGGGCTGAGGCTCGGGTGTTTGGTCAAAACATGATGAGTAGTTCTTTAGACCAACAGTAACTGTGTCACAGTGATGTTGAGCTTCATGACCGTGACTGTGGTTTTAACACTGTGTTCGTCTCATAGGATCTGAAGGAACTGAGTGGTTTGGTGACACACTTCTCTCTGCTGGTCCATGTGAGTACAAACACCAAACTCTTACATGTCAGCTCTGTGTGTGTGCGTGTGTGTGTGTGTGCACAGACAGTGCCTCCGACACACACATTTGCCTATAGCCTTTCCAGGAAGTACAATGTATTTGAGTGTGTGCTGTGTTGCCTGGTGAGACTCCGCTGAGAGAAAGTTACACAGATCAGCCCCGGCCCACTGCTCGGGCCCCAGGGGCCCCCACACCCAAGCGAGAGCAGGGGAGTCGAGAAGTAGACGAGGAAAGAGAGAGAGGGCGAGGGTGGATTTAAGAGAGGGCAGGAGGGTGGTCCAGAGGGGCAAAAAAAAGCAGCAAGCAACACATGGGAGCAGATGGAGAACAGACGGCTCAGATTATGGCTCCATCCTCAGGGGTGGAGGAAGAGGAGGACGGAGGCAGCAAGGAAGGAGAGATTAACGGAAAAAAAGAGTGAGAGTGAAGGTGTGCTTAAGTTAAAAAACAGAGGAAGGTGGGGGGGGTTAGAAGTAAGCACGTGTGGGGGCAGAAAGAGCATAGACATGTTGTTTTAGTGTCTCAGGGGTGAGAGACACCGTTAGGGGAATGATATTCCAGCGCTGAGCCGCAGTGGAAACACTGAGTGTGTTTGAGTGTGTGGTTGTTTCTGTGTCTGTTCTTGCATCATGTGATCGCTATCTACGCTCTTTGTCTGTTTTGCTTCACTGTAGCCTTCCATTGGGTGATTTCCGTGGACTCTGTATTCATCAGTAGATATTATCAGCTGCAGCTCCAGTAGAATGGTTTCTAACCTGTTTGGTTTCATTTACAAACCAGATCAAATCTCATGAAACTGCTGTGACTTTAAACCTCACTGAGGCTCAGACTGTAAATGATTGTTGTTTTTATTATGTTGATGATGAGGATGGTGATTTCTATTATACACTATAATATAATATAATATTATTGTTATTATTATTTATAATTATATTATAATTATACACATTTTAATATTAATATGATGATGAGTATCTTCATTATTAAAAATATGATGATTAAAAACTAATAATGATGATGGTTGTGATAATAATAATGGTACTACTAAGAATAAAATTAATGTTAACATATATTTTTTAAATTAATGTGATGTGATGCTGACGATTGTCATCATTATTGTTATCAAAATTATTATTATCGTTATTTTTGTTGTCTTTACTTGTTATTGTTTGATAGCTTTTTTATACAAGGGAAGAAATTTAAATTTTTGCCTTCATACCGATGGTCAACTCAGACTGAACGTTGTCCCAGCAGACTGTGGGTAGAAACCCAGAGTATTGGGGGGAAACCTACGCACAAACAGAGACTCTCTACGCCCTCGGCAATCTTAATTTTGATAGTAGTAGACAGGAAGAGAATCTTTGAATCTTGTCATTTGTGCATCGTTTAGTTCTGAAATAGTTTTCATCTGAGACATGAGTCATAAAAGGATCGGTTTCTGTTTTCACTGATATTAGTAGTATTCAAATATCTCAAAAACTGTAAAACAAGAAGCCTTGATGTGGGGATTTAAGATAAATGCTGGAGTTGAATCAGAATGCAGAGGTCAAAGGTTAAATAGGACGAAGCTGTTTGGAGAAAAGGTGAAAAAGACAAAGAAGAGGAAAGAGAGGAGAAAAAATATTGTTTGGTCAGTGTGTCAATCCAGGCCTCACTTGGAGAGAAACAGCTGCCACTCTGAATATTTCATGAAATCAACACAATAATGCACACACACACACACACACACACACATATATACCTCCCATGTTATCCTGTGCTGTGAAGCTGGATTTGGAGACATTAGAAAACAGTGCACAACAGGTGGCTGCTCTCCCACATGTGTATGCAGCAGTGTGTGTGTGTGTTAAGTGTGTGTTAAGTGTGTGTCTGGGGAGTCTGCCTCAGTCCCAGCAGGAGAAGATTGACAGCATCGAGGACAACGTCAACACAGCCGCTGCCAACGTGGAGGAGGGGACCAGGAGCCTGGGGAAGGTGTGTGTGTGTTTGCGGGTGTGTGTGGGTGGGTGCGTGCGTGCGTGCATGTGTATGTTGGGGGGTTACAGAGAGATCGATGGCACTTTGCCTCCCAGCCATTCCACAGTGTTTGTCCCTATTGATCCGTTCGAATACGGAGGAAAGCTGCAATTAAGGAAATAGAGAGAGGAGAGGGGAGGAAGAGAGGGGAGTGGGGAGGCAGAGTGATAGAGAGGTGGGATGAGAGATTGACAGGGGAGAGGGTCTACGTGTGAGTGTGTGTGCAGCATTAAGGAGGGCTTTGAATGACTGTTTAATAGTTTTTCAGAAGCGTCCAGACGACCAGCGGTGATGTGATTGGTTCTTAACGCTGAGTTTAAGACAGACAGACACAGACAGTCTGTGGCCTTACAATCAAATAAAATCTGTAGCTTTTAAAAATTGAATTTCATTAATTTCATTTTTTAAAAGCTATGTCTGTGGCTTGCACAATAAACAACAACATGTTTTCATCTGAATAATTCAAATATGTGAGACAGATGGAGGGTGACCTCTATGAGGTGACCTCTAAGGTGACCTCTGTGAGGTGACTGGTTGATGTAGTTAGCTGCATGTTAGGTGGCAGCGTGGAGTGATAAGGCAGATGAGAGGGATGTCAGATGTTTTCATGCGTTTGAAAGCTGGTAATCTGTCATCAGGACAAACGAGAACACAGACACATTCACGCACATACGTGAGCACGCGACACCCGCGGTTCTCCCCCCGTCGTCTCCAACCTGTGCCCAGTGTCCTTTTAACTCGGCTCAGTTGAAATTAAAATTCCCCTCCACTGCCACAGGGGTGAGGGAGGCAACGCTAGCTTTTGAACTAGATTAATTTAATGTTGAAGTGTTAATCAAGTGTGTGTCCCCGTGTGTACCTGCACGGTGGTGCATGTGTGGACGGTCAGAAAAACTGTCATTTAATTGCCATCAGCAAAGAGCACCTTCCACTGTGATGATAACGGCGGCAGTAACACACAGGCCACATCTCCCTCTGATTTCTCTTCAGCTCAGATACAGCACTGGCTTTGATGCAGCAGCCGACAGGTTACCTTACATCTGCACATGCAGACTGGGTTGTGCCTTTATTTCACACCTTCTGTGAACCCGGTCCCTGATCATGAAAGAATGAGACGTCCGAACTCCGAAATTACCTTTGAAATGTGCGTCTTCTGTGTTGAAATGAACGAGAATCTAATGGTTTTTCCTGCGTCTCTCCAGGCAGTGGGTTACAAGTTGGCTGTGCTGCCCATTGCTGGAGCCCTGATCGGCGGTGCGTTGGGAGGTCCGTTAGGCCTACTGGCAGGCTTTAAAGCTGCAGGAGTGGCGGGCGGCCCGGGGGGGGGGGGGCGGGGGGGGCTGGTGGGGAAACCACACACGAAAGGCCCGCAGAGCCCCCGGCAGGAGTGGCGGCCGCCCTGGGGGGAGGGGCCCTGGGCTTCGCAGGTGGAAACCTAGTCCAGAAGCGCCGCAAAGCCCAAGTAGATCTGCAGATGAAACAGCTGAGCTTACCGCCACCGGAGAACCCGCCGCAGTCCAGCAAGGACAAATGATAGTGGTTAGTGGTCACATGACCTCAGCTGCTGATGAAGGACTGGAGCTCCTGTGTTGACTGACCAATCAAACCCACAGATGATCAGTGCCGGACTTGATGCTTGAATGGCTACAGCGACTGTTCTGCTTAATGTGAACACAACAAAGCAGTTTACCTTAGCACTTTTATAAACATTCTTTTTCGTACCAAGTAAAAGTTAATTTATTTTTTACCAAGTTTTATCAATTTACTTGTCATGTGCCTAATTATGCAAGTAGCAGTCACACTGGCTAATGTAAACCACCGACTGCTGATTTACATTTAAATCAGGCGTGCCGTCACCGTAGTATTACAGTTTATTTTGAACCAGTGTGAAATCAGAAGAGATATCATTTGTAGGATAACAGTATTTGGTCTCGTGTAGGATTTTTAAATTCCTTGTGTGCCATTTATTCACCAAGTGCTTTAAATTGAAACCTAGATGTTTGACTTCTCTCGGTCTCAACACTTTGGCACAAATTTACAAACTTTTTTCTTCTCCCTCCCGCTTTAATAATTATTTTTCTTTATTTTTAAATCTTCACCACATACGTACGTTTGGTTTTGGATGCAGTTTTAGTAAACTAAGGCTTATATATTTAGAAATGCCTTTTGTTTAATGATAATGATGTATGTGTTTTTATATTTGTGTGTAAACACAGTATAAATATATACTGTAGATATACATAGAAATACAATATAAGAATTTACATACATGTTTACATATGTTAATATGTATATTATTGAAAATATATGTATATGCATATATAGACCAACACATACATATTTATAGAAAATCAATACTGCCTACAGAAAAACCAGGGATGCAACCAGTGAACAAGTGATCTAAAACAAAATATTTCTTTTTGCCAAAAAAATACTTTGCTTCAATATATAATGTGTTTTTATTGAAAGAGAGTAAAGCAGCATTAAAGTTGAGAAAAGTAGCAATAGACCAGAAAACATTTTGTAAAATGATCTTTAATTTAACTTTTTTTTTTCTGTTTCTCCTCTGAGATGACTGGTTAAGAAATGACATCACACTATCCCATGATGCTCTCCTGTAGGTGGGCTGATATGTCACTTTAAGCAGGAGCTTAATGGCCACTTATGAGAAGAGCAGGCCATGGACAGTACAAAGTTAGCGATGGTTTTCCATACTCTTGTGTTTGGCCACAAATGTTGAGTTTGAATTCCATGGACCTCAGGGATGTTGACGTTGTACCAGAGCCTTCAATCACAGTGGAGACAAAGTGGTTTTTAGAGGATCAATGTTACACGTGTGGTTGTTTTCTCCTCTACCATGATGATACCTTTTTATAAATTGGCTTCCGTGATATAGTACAAATTCAGAACATTTTCCTATCCTTGACATCAATTCCAAATGTCTATTTTGTGCCCCCTGAAAACACGGCATGTCCCTTTAACTGTTATTTGAACAGCTTGATTTAAAAAAAATAAAAAATAAAATTAACAGAAAAGACTGATGCCAAATGCGGTTCCGAAGATTGGCAAAGTGGTACAAAAAGACTGGCAACTTGTGGTTGTCGGGTGAAACTACAAGTAAAAAGCTTTTTAGAAATGCAAGAGGGGAAATAAACGGTTCGTTTAATCCTTGTTTCTGTAATAATTTGACTTCATTTGTGAATGAATAACTTAAATTACTCAAATTCTTGACTTATTGCTGATGAACCTGTCGACAGCATGATGTTGCCACCAGCAGGCTCCATGATGGGGGACAAGAACCCCGTTCACGTGGTCAATAAAAACCTTACTACAAACGCACACAGGGAATCCTTACACCACCCTCTTGGCTGCAGTGCTATAGAACAGAACAGAAAAAGAAAGAAAACAGGCAACGGCGTCTTTATCTGTTAGCATTTAGTACCAGGGAGAGAGAGTGTGCATCTCAATCAGCAGGAGACGCTCTGTATCACTGTCTTCTGTCTCAAGTCTATTTGTTGTATTTGTACAATATGTTTGTCTTCCTTCAAAACTACAAGGGTGTGTGTGTGTGTGTGTGTGCGCGCGCGTAGAAGACACAAGATACAGCTACTTCAAACTGATTCACTGTAAAGACCTGTGCTAAATTCATTTTCCTACAGCTGTTCATGTTGAGATGCAGTCGTGAGGTCACCTTGAAGTTGAGAACCCATAGATAAGAACCATAAACTGGAGTGAGGGAACTGTTCTTTAGTTTCTTCCGTAGAATATAGGCTGGTGGGAAGAAAATTAAAAAAAAAAAAAAAAGACCTCTGTATTTAATTTAGACCAACAACGAGACTCCCATGTAGCACAAACATATTTACAAACTCCAAAAAAAAAAAAGAAGGTAAAAACACTTCTCATGATGCGTCTGATGCCCCAAACCCTCTGCCCACAAACATTTCATCAGTAACCCTTTCCTTATAATCCAAAATAAAACTTGTATGTGAAAGAGTTATGAAAATATAGGTTATTCCCACATGGTTGAGTCATGAACTGTGCCACCGTCTTCTCCTTCACTCCTTCTGTCTCCCCCCTCTTTTTTCAGTAAGGGTGCTGGGTGTTGCTTTTCTGTCCCGTTAGTCTGTCCCAACCCTAACCCCCTCCCAGTCCCAGGGCGTGGCATTGAGTCACAGAATTGCCAAAAGTCCAATCACGTCACAGCTCGTCACGGTCTCTGAGGATGGTGTATCGGGTCTCGCTGGGCGCCAGTTTTTGGAACGAGCTGTCTGGTGGGTTGCTGGCAGCTTCTCCTCCGATATCCTCCTGAGGAGAAGAAATCAGTCATGGACACATGGTCACATTTCACCTACAGAAGCGAGCATCATTTGGGGCACTATGGGATGTGTGTGTGTGCTGCTGTCTGACCTGTCCAGGGGTGCTGTCAGTGGGGTCTGGACCATGGTGGAACTCACGGTGAAGTTTTCCAGAGTGAAGGTCCAACACAAACTGTCTTAATTTGCCAGGAACGCTGCAAAATGAGAAGAAAAAAACCTGCCATCATGCCGTTTTCCCCCACGAGATTTTTCAGATCTTTGTTTGTCCTGAACAAAGACTGCCCTTTGTTTAGGAGAGACTGTTTTTGTGCTTTGTTAGTTCAACTCTTGAGCTCACAAGCAAAACAAAGCTGAGACTAAAGAATCATTTTTGGGTTCTGACTTCTGGATCCCTAGTCTGTAATCAGTCAAAAAAAAGGCTACGAATCACAAACAATCAGAAACACATTGTTGATCCACAGTCTGGGAAGTGTTGGTGTTGGTTTAGTAAAAGAAATAAAATAAAAAGATTAGTAAAATGTATTCAAATATGTGAAATTTGTTCGAGCTTCAGTTAGTCAAATTACCCAAACCTGCAGCCTTTCACATGTTCATGGGTTCAAACCTTTACGAAGTTTACGAAGTGGGTGTGGTTAGAGCTTTTAAATTTGTATGAACGTCTGATAAAGATAAGAATTAAAAGATTTGACCACAACATTCAAATATTTTTGAATGTATATGTGTTCGTGCACAAAACGCACAGACTGTGCACATTCCTGCAGTCCAACAATAAAAATCCAGATACTTGAGTTACTGAGCAGGTCAGACTCTAAGTGCTCATATGAGATGAAAACGCTGGTGACAGGATTCCCGGCAGACATGTCATTAAGCCACATTAATCCATATCAATGTGCTTCTGTGAATTGCGCTTATTAACGACAGGTCATAAGCCGTCGGGACGACATGCAGACACACAAACACGTATGTGTAACATACACACTGCGCAAATGTTGTTAAGAGCTGTGTGCCACATGCTGTGGTGATGTGATGAAATTAGCCGGTGGAAGCCGGTCAGTCCTCGAGGCTACTGTCTATCTGACCACACTCTGATTGGGGTCTCGGGAGGCGGCCGAGAGGAGGGGGCAGAATAAATAAGATTAAATTAGATTAGACTGGATTAGTTTAGCACTTATTGCACATGCCAAATCATGTCACATTAGCTCCGGTGTCCTGGCCCATTTATAAAGAAGAGATTTTCAGAGGTGTGACATTTCTCTGAACACAGAATGGTGATTTGTGCTTCTGTCCCCAGTGTGTAATGACATTAACTTTATTTCAAAAGATCCCGTTATGAACAATTTCACCTGTGGTTAAATTATATTATTTGTGAATGACCTTCGTTGTAATTATTTGTTTTAGCTTTGAACTTTTATTTTGGTAGCGGTTAATTATATTTCACTTCCTGTTCACGGAAGTAAAATTTGACCGGAAATCAAGCAAAATAATGGTTGACAACTTAAACGTAACAGTGAAACTCGGTATTTTAAAGCTAAAGTACAAGAACGAAAAGTTCGATTCAGTAAAGTAAGGGCGAAAAGTACTTATAAAAATTAAGGTCCAGTCGAATTTGAAGCAAGATAAAGACTGGATAGTACATTTTTTGTTGCTTTTTGTTAATCAGTTTTAATTACATTTTGCGCTAAATCGCTACGATGCTAATGTCAAATATTTATTTTGTCTGTATAACGGTATCATGTAAGTAAGATGTCATGTCGTCAAATCTTTCAAAACATTAATTTTTTTCCTGCTAGGAAGGAAGCTACGGTACGCGCTTGACCACCTGTCGTCACTGGTTCATCGACATCGACGCGGACGACAGCAACAGCGATGACGAAGAAATACGACATTATACGGAAGCTGCGCCAATTTCATTGGTGAGTTCGAACTATATTTTGCTTATATATTTTTTTGTTTGTTTGTTTTTTGTCAGCAATGAAGTAGATTTACTAGTAGTAATTTGGTGAACAGTAAGATGAGACTCCATTACATGGGAAGCCAAGCTTGGATAAGAGCATGATGATTTGTTTTATAATCTGTGAATTTCAGCGGCCGAAAAAGGTCAGGAAATCATATTTTCAACATTTTAAGTGTATAAGTATGAGAGTAGATACATACCTGAGGTCTTTGTAGTCTGGAAAGACATACATGTGTCTGAATGAGTCTATGGCAATGACGGGGCAGTCGGCTGGAGTTTTCTGGATATGGAGAAGAGGATGACGGAACTTATCGCAGTCCGCGTGGAGAAAGTTTATGGAACCTGAGGATTGGAGAGGGGATGTCACAAAGTAAAAGGTCTGCACATTAAAGATTTTGTTTTCAAGACCAAACCACCGTCTTGGCATATTTGAACACTTCGTTTACCTTTCTCAGTGATGAGCTGGCGCGCTACTTCATGTTGGAATTTCTCTAAGCTTTCTGCGTCATCTTTCACATGGAACAAAATGAGGAAAGGAATCCCTTCTTCAGTTAACTCCTGGAGAGAAAAGGGAGGGAAAAAACACAGGGGTGAAAAACTGATGGAGTCAAAGCTCACCTGGTGTCTGTGCTGATTTTCATTGTTCATACAGTATGTAGCTGGTAAAAGTAACCATACATTGATCTACATGTAAACATTTGTTAGCCATGTTGAAAAACAGGTAAAAGAGTCTGGCTCAAACAAAAACAAAAACAAAAACGAATTTAACAGACCTATGCTGTTAATGTTCTAGTGCAAATCTCAGACAAACCTCTCCATTTTCAAACGTGATCTCTCGCACCAGAGGCACACACTTATCCTGGGTCCAGGCATAAGTCAGGTCAAAGTTGCTGAGGGAGCCGAGGTAGATCATGTCAGGCGCATTTTCGCCCGATGGTTTGTAGAGGACATTGTCTCCACTGAAACGCTCGGGTTCAGAGACAGCACTAGTAGAAAAAAAAAAGAAGAAGAGAGGTTTAGGATTATAAATCATACTAGAAAAATATAATTCAATCTTGAGAACTAAATTTGAACAGTGATTCACCCAAAGGCAGCTGAGAAAGAACAATCGTCTCGCAGTATGTTGGCAACTTTTTCATATGTGTGATAACCGTCGGAGTCTTTCTTCTCAACGTAAGCAATGATGTTTCTTTTAGACCTCTGTACAAGGAAAATGTGAACGTTAAAGGTTATACGTGGTTATAACAATATATAATATAAAATGTATTATTATTATTTTATAGTCAGCATGTGCCTTTGTTTCCTTACATCCAGAGAATTAACTTCCTCGAGTGAGTGCAGCTCTTTCACGGGGTCGACCTGCTGCTGGCGTATGAAGTCTGCAATAGCCACCACCGACCTCTGACCCCTGTACTCCCTCTTCATCATCATCCCATTGCGGAACAACTTCAACGTGGGATACTTGGTGATGCGGTACCGCTGGGCAATGTCGGCTGCACATTCATGAGAAGGGAACGGTAAGAAGAACATTTTAATTGATGAAGATGAGAATCGAAAAAACTCATGAAGAAGCGTGAGCAGAGATGGCAGTTAAACCTCAGTCTGGAGACACTGCCTTCAGTAAGCTCTGAGCTCTGATCTGCCACATGAAAGCTGTCCCCCCGCCAAGAGTAAATATTCTCTGTGCACACAGTTAGTGTGTGTGTGTATGGCAGGTGTCAATCTCTCTGCAGGGTGTCTTTAAGCCTCCAGTCTTCACAGGATGCAGCAGTTTTGTCATTAGACTTCAAACAGTTTGCAGATCATCAATAATTCCCTTTAATTTGCTTTATCTCAAAAGGCTGAGGCCTACGGTTTATGTCCCTGTGCTTTGGTGTGTGGGCCATCTATGTGGATCCAATATACAGCAGTCAGAGTGTGCGACCTTTTTTTGTTGTAGTGGGTAATGGCCACACGTTTTTCATAAAATATAAACGGATCCTACATTTACATTTTAAGTAGCTTAAATAAACACAATATACTGTTAATATTGTATTTATATAGACTGATAACAGTAAAAAAATATACAGTATATGTAGGCCCTATTATGGTAAGTTGATATATAGTCTCTGTAAATGTTACAGTTTATTCTTAATGCTTATGCATCTTGTGGACAAAATTGGAAAGAAAACAATTTACTCACAGTGTTGGTCACAGTCCACACGGGCAAACACCACCTGCTTGGTCTCAGGGAACTCCTCCCGCACCACGTTGGATGCCTCCTCAAAAATGGGATGGAGCATCTGACTGAACCTACACCTGCAGGGTCATAGTTGGATGTGGTCAGAGCTCCAAGTAATATCTATTTATTTATTAACACTCAGGACAATGACGTTGATTTTTGTAGAACTAACCAGTAGCTGAACGACTTGAGCAATTCTAATGACAATAACTTCTTCACATATGTGGTGCAGGATTCATTAAAAAAATTGTTTCAGAGGCAAATTAGGTTCTAACGCTGGACTCATTTTAAACAGGAGTTTATTGAGGGAGGTAAAACATCAAACTTACCAGTCAGCATAAAAGTTAACCAATGCTACCCCAGCATTATCTGTGAGAGAAACATAATACACAAAATACATTTTAACATTGCAATGTCTGATTATTTAACACTTATCAACATTATCAATATAAAACTGCTTTACTGCTTTTCAATGGTGGTAACAAAAAAAAAACAAAGAAGAAAAAAAAACCCATGCAGTCACAAGTAAACATTTGTACAGTATTATGAAGCATGAGAATAATTCATTTCATTTAGAGAGCAACAATGTTTTAGACAATCAGTATGATGGTGCAGTTTCTCTGGTTATACTGTGATGAATTGTTACCAACCGTTCCATTCACACCACTACTCAATTTAAAAATGGTCGGTGATCATAATCTTCTACCTTATTGACTGTTTTGCAGAAGTGTTAAAAAAACAATGGCCAGTTTCCAGAGAACTGTTTACAGAGCGTCTGTTTCTCAAAGAAACATGGTGATAGTGAGTATTTAGCGGTGCTGACAGCAACTGCCTGAAGCTATGTGTATTAATGGGCCATTTTAAGCAACTGCCATTCAAACAATAACAGCCTTCGCCACACCTTTGAGTCATAAAAATCAAGACTCTTACTTAAGACTTCATCGATGTTGCCCGAGTCCAGACTGATGATTTCGGCTACACCAGACGTAGAGAGGCCTATCACCTAAAGACACACATGAAACACAGATAAGCAGTTAAACTTAAAAAAAGGAACTGGTTATTTACAGCAACACAACACAGGGGTAAGAAGAAACACTGACTATCAATGAGAGCGCAGGAAAACAGGTCTGTCAGCATCCTGTTTTAACCCGCAGATGACAAAACAGTCAAATACTAGAACTTGTCTTTCGAATACTGCTTATGTCAGTACTGTGCTTTACTTGCTTCTTAGTCAGATTATCTCAGTGCGTTGCTTTTTTACAGACAATTCCTAACAAAACTCCTTAATGGTAGATTCCAGATTTTTCATGGCCATTTACTTCCGTAACAAAACATCAAAAGAAATCACCAGTAATTAAATTATTTGTGCACATTGTTGTTAACATAGGCTTAAACATATAACAACACAGGGGTGGAGGAAAATGCGTAGATAAAAAGTGATAAAGACAGTTATAGTGGCTAAAGGAGTTTGAAAAAAAGTGACTAAAATGTATATTGTTACTACTTCATAATAGGATATTATTAATAAAATACATTGTAAATATTTAACATTTTAGAAGCATTTCATAAAAGTATACATAGCGTATGCAGTAAGAATAAATCATATAAGGGAGGATGTCAATAAAATTTAGTTTGGACTGATCAGAGGTGTACAGCACCGGCAGCAGACTCTAAAGATCACCAGGCTACATTGCTGTGACCTGACCTGCTGTGAACAACTACCTACTCTGATGTTTCCCTCATCAAGTGAATTATTCTGTATTGAGTGGGCAGTGACTCATCTGTAAACCTAGTTTACATTAAACAAAACTTTTGACAGGCCTTAGGCATTCACAATGTCACTACAGTAGGCCTTGGGGGCAGGGAGGGGCACATACATGCTCAGTGTTTACAAGATAAATTCCTGCAGCTTGCATAGGGAAACTGTTAATGATTTACAACACTCATTAAAACACCAGGGATGTCCAACTTCAGGATTTTTGTTTGTTTTGTTGTGTGTTTACAAATCAACTTATCAAACCCTCAAATCCTCTGTCAGTTGCCTTGAATGCAAAACACTTTCCAACAGTTTTATTCTTTTTACAGTTTTAAATAATGGAGTTAACTGAGGCAGCTAACCAAAGATCCTTGTTAATTATAGCGACGATGTGTTCAAATGCTGGGAAGGGCAGTGAAGTCTGTGAACCTGTGTGTCTGAAGTGTTTCAGGGTGAAATAAGTCTCACTTATGTCTGCAAAGACGACTTAATTAATGCCTTATCTACATTTTTTTCCACTTTTGACATTGCTAACACTATCTGTCCATCAGTACAAAACAGATGGTGTTCTTTTTTAGGTTTCTCAGAAAAACATTTTCTTTAAATGAACAGCAAAAAGAACAAAAACTTTATTTTATAAAATGTGTAAATTTTAATTTGTCTCAAACAGACAAAGATGACCATTTTGATTTATACTGTTGTAAATACATGTAATTAGAGATACCAGACAAACAACTGTAGCCACAATTACAACATTTGTAACAAATTAATTCTGTTTTGAGTGACCTGCTTTTTATTATTTAATCACAAGTTTAATTATGTAAAAACACTCAACTGATTCTCTTTTATTCTTACATTATAAATCTTAACCATTTTATATAAACACAAAATAGTCAGACAGAATTCCCATAATGAACAGGCACTGTAAAATGGGCCACTGAGGTTTCATCTCCATTTAACAAAATGTATTAATAATTTCCCATTATACCTTCTAGTCAGGAAGCAAAAAGGGTCTATATACATGAAGCTAGCATATAGTCAGGAAGCAACAAGGGTCTATATACATGAAGCTAGCATAGACCAAAGAACTTAACTGACCTCGCTTATGTTGTAAATCATAAAACTTTTGGTCCTAACATTTTTATTTTACATTTAAAATTCAGAAGCTGCATCAATCTGGGCATTTAAACAGGTAACAATGGTCAACTGGGTGTTTTTTGCATGTATTTATTAGTTGTAAGTCGGTTTTGTCAGGAAAACAACCATTAACAACCATGAAATTCCTGTTTATCCTAGTGTGATCTGCTGCAGGGTTATTAGAAATACTACAGTGGGAGTCGTTGAAGTATCGCTGAGCAACTTAAATCTCAACTTTCAAGTTTTCCTACAGGCCTGAACTGCACTCTACCTAGTTCCGGGTTGTCAGCCAATAAGAATGAGCCACAACAGAGGAATTCACCAACCGGCGAGCATCACTGTGAGGCACATCAGAGTCCATCAGTGACTTTAAGTGTCTATACAAAAATAATAATAACAAGACTGGACATATATATTGTAGTTCAACCACACTGCTAGACAAAAAGTGACAACAACCATAGGATGATAATAAGTATCACTCCCGATGTCGTCTGAAAACATGATAGCAGTTAAAGCTAATGAGGGGCTAAAGTTCTCAACAAAGTTAGTGCATTTAAACTCCATGTGTTTTGTCTGAAATCATGTTCAGTGTATCATACCTGAACTATATCGACTGTAAAATGAGAATAGTGATGTTAAATTACTGAAGCTAATGTTATTCCATACTACCGGCAGCTGGATAACTGGGTTAGTTACGGCAGTGAACACTGGATGAGATTCGATCGAGAGGTCCCATTGCTGAACCCGGGTAAAATCCAAAGTTCCGAAGGAGAAAGTGCTTATAACCCCCGTTACTTCTAAAGCCACGTCTCATGTCATCAGAGACTGCTCGTAGCTCGGCTAGCATGCAGCTAACTAAGGTTAGCTCCTAGCTGCTAATAGAATGAGGGTCTTTAAAAAGCTTCAACGCAGAGACTTACCAGCAGTAACAGTGTGAATTGGCGAGTTTGTAGAGGTGGAGATACTGATAACCGATTCATTGTACAGTGATGTTCTGTTGTTGGAGGCTGCCGGTGCTCTTTGGTCCAATCCTGTCCAAACGCCGCTGTACTCCCCGTAGCAGGAAACTGATGGCGAACAGATCTCAGGGTGACAACGGAAGCAGGAGAGGCGCTTCCTTGTAGCATTGTAGGAAATGTAGTTTCTCGATAGACTGAAATACTTGCCCGAGTGGGAAAGAAAACACCAGAAATGGCTCCTATCGTGTAGAGCACTTCGCTGATGGGTATTGTAGTATATTTTTAGCCAAGACGGCAGCGATTTAACGGGTCGTCTTGGAAGAAAACTTCTCAAATTTTCATCAGAGGAACAAGAAAGTCATAAGGTAAATAGAAAGAACAAAGACGAAAAACTCGTTTAAGGAACCTTTTGGTACATACACGACATCAGCGTTACTCAGTTTACACGATGTCAAACTTTGTGCTTCTTCACTCGCGCTTATGAATAACTGATTTCTGTTAAACTGGGATAGTTGCATCATTGTGTTTTTGTATAATGTGGTGCCCATTTTGTCTTTTATCCCCAAGCAGAGCAAAACGAATTTTATGCTACGAAGTGGTGTTTCAGAGACCTATATCTCACCAAAACTATTTTAAGTCAGTCTCTAGTAAAAGTCTGTATTGATCTACATGTGTTTTGTGTAAACACTTACACTACCGAAGTGTATATATATGTATGTATATATTTTTTAAAACCCTGCAAAAATACACAACGTAAGTGTCGTGTTAAACGTTAACTGTCCAGTGGTCCAGTTGGTTGTACAGAGTCCACTTAAAAAAAGTTGCAATTTCTTAAATGTTCATACCATTTATAACAACAATGTCTGCAAAAAGTGCACTCTTAGATCCCTCTAGATCCCACAAGCCATTGCAACTGAAGCGTCCCACACCATGACAACATCAACCCTCTTTTGGTCACAGTTTGGAGCGTTTTATTTTCTTTCTTTGGTCACAGTTTGGAGCGTTTTATTTTGATTTTTGGTTCACCAAACAGGACACACTGTGTCCCTCAAACAAGTTGGAACAGCTATTACATTTATTGTTAATTTGTCCCTCACCACATACATTTAGCAGCGGTTGATGTAGTGTTGTTTAGTCGTGACAGGCCCTAAATTTGTCCTCTCCTGCAATTTCTTTTAATTGAAAACAAACAATACTGTCAAGGCACTACTGCCAGCCCTGCTCACAACCAACACTGTCAACACCGTTAACTTGCATTTGAGCGGTCAAAATGATTTTTTTATAAATCAGAAGTAAACACACCTTTTTGTCAAATATAAATTATTAGTTCAGTTTTAAACTTAATATTGTTTCAGTCCTATCAGAGTTGATTAGACTGACAATAACAGTTCACTGCTCTCTATGTTGTCAACATGGGCAGTATTGTCTTGGCAGTTACTTGTGGGAGCAGGTGGGCTGGTCTCAGTATGTGGGTGATCCTCTTCTCTCCCTGGCAGGAGCCGGGATCAGGGCAGGTAGGAGATCTGGACGTGTCTTCACTCCAACCAAGGATGCACTGAACTGGGAAACATCTGCTAAAGTCTGCCCTTCACCACAGCCATGGTGAGCATCCATAATACACTTACACACACACACACACACAATGAGGATCCCAGAAGACTTTTTTTTTTGCAGTGGTAACTAAGTGTCTCAGCTGAACTACAGTCATCTATTATTCTCTCTCAGGAGTCATCACCATTGAGACTGTGTAACAGTCATAATTGTGTTTGCTATAACTGCTCAATTATGAGGCAGATTAAGGAGGTATGTTGAATTGAAACTGAGCGTTAATATTTTATGTGCTGAAGCCGTAGGGGGTTCACAGTGTGTGTGAGTGTGTGTGAGAAACAGATGGATTTAGAGGAAGATCTGTCCCTTTGTGCCACTCTGAATATCATTACTGAGAAACAACACAATTACAGTAACTATAACCCCCCAACCCAAAAAAATTAAATAGCAATAACATTTATCTATGCTGATTCATTGTTGAGTCATCATTTTTTATCAACACTTGATTCAAGGTTGATTCAGGCCTTTTTTTAAATTATAAAGCATTATATTTAAAGCATTTTTACTTTAGATGAAATCAAACATGAACAAACGATTGTAATGGTAGAAGATGGCATATCATATTAGTTATTATTCTTTTTTAAATTATCAAGGAAAAGTCTCCAGCTTCCATACCACCTAGTCCTTAAATCCCAGGTGTCAGGGAAGTCATCCAGTGTCAAAACTTTGCCAAATCACCATGCAGACTACAACTGTGATTCTGGGTTTAAATCCTTGGTATCATTCAGTTTGTTTCGCTATATAAATTGTTATGTTTTCAAATCAACACAATCTTCACAATCACAATCAGCCTCTTTAATCTGGGGAAAATGATTTCAAGATTTGTGCAGGAAGTAGAACAAAAATATCAACTTAGGAACAGACCCATACATTAAGTTGACCAACAGAAATCCAGCAGTTGGTCAGGTGACCTGCCCCTCAAATCCTCACAAAATGTCAGGACTTGTTCTTAACAATCATGACTTGTTTCTGATCAGGTTTATACATTCATGTGGTGGTAAATATCTGCATGGTCCACAAGGCCTGGTCTCACCTGGGCTTTTCAACAGAATATCTTTAAAAAATGGATTTCCTAATAGATTTTGAAGAAATTGTCTGGAGATGTGGATTACGTTGTAGAAAAAGAGAGGAATTCAATTTTGATTGTGACCCAGACATGGATTGAAGGTATTGATGTCGAGGTTCGTGAGTGGTCTTCAGGGTCTGACTCTCAGTCTTTCTATAGTTCATTGATTCTTGATTGTCTGATTGTTTGCTCCATAAATATCAACATAATTAATGACTGACGCTTTTGACAGAAATGTCTTTGTCAAAGCTAATGTCTTCTAGTTATAAGAACTCTCTCAGACATGTTCAGTTTGCAGTATTAGGAAATAGTGAGAAGCTCGAAGCTGCTCCTCTCTGGCTGATTAAATGTAAAAATTAGATTTCTTTTTATTCACTTGGTGATAATAGCATTTCTTTTTTTTTTTGTCATTATGATGGTGAGAGTCTGTAGTGGTCACACTGTCTTAGTGCACGGCTGATTCCATCTGACCGCCCTCACTCTTTTTTGACTGCTCCAGCCATTTCCCTCCGTCCTTCCGCATTTCACATTGCACCAATTGATTTCTTGTTTGTTTTTCCAGCTGATTATGTCCCTCTACTCGGATTTGCCGATGGGCACTTTGCACCCTGCAGTTTAATTGGACATTTAATTAGATCACAGTTTTAGTCCAATTAGACTCAGAGGTGTGGGAGATGGGGAATGGAGGGGAGAAAAGGCAAAAGTCCCCAAGCTCCCTTTCCCTTTCCCTCCCCCTCTCCCTCTGTCTCTTTCACTCTCTCTCTCTCTTCTCGTTTTCTCTTTTTTAAGTTTCTCATCGAACAGTTTTTCTTCGTCTGTCTTTTCCATCCATCTCTCTTCCTCTCTCCTGAAGGCAACGCATTAGTGACGCAATGGTCCAATGCAAGACACGCAGCTCTCCTGATTCCTAGATTGTTGTCAACAACAGCTGACACCCTCTTGCTTATTCTCTCTCTCTCTCTCTCTCTCGCTCTCCCTCTCTGCATTATGCACATCCACTAACACATTTTTACACCAGTTTGTCTTTGAACAGGTTAAACTGGAACCAGTATATTACCAGTTCATTCTCCGTGACTGTGTCAGATCCTGGTCGGTCATGCGTCAGGGTTTCAGGATCTGTAGCTTCACAGAGAAGCACCTAAGTGACAATTTTTTTGTTTCTCTCACACTTGTCGTAAAAGCCCAGTTTCCTATAAGAGGGTCAGTTAAACAGTGTAGGTGGGGGTGTCAGTTTATCACCCAGCAGCGTGTAGGAGCCACTTCTATTTTATGACTTTGTAAAAGTGATGTTCCCTTGTCGTTGAAATCAACCCATGTTGTATGTTCGCAGATACAGGAGGGTGACAGTGTGTCATCACTGCACCTGTGTTCAGTACGACGAAGCTCAGTTTTGAAAGCACTTGCTTGGAACTCCGTCAAATGCAGAGCCTCTTAATCTGTGCCAGCCTCAGCTCCCCTGTGAACCCAGCCTCCTTCTGTTGTCATAATCATTGCACTGAGCTTAGGTTTAAACATAAACAACACTGTGTCCCACTGGACCAAAACACACACCTACACACACCCAGATGTAGACTGTGCAGATATCCACACACCTATTCCTGGGTGTGAGGTCCTCAGAGGAGACAAGTCAATCTCCCCCTCCCTGGAGCGGTCACACACACCCACCCATGCCCCCAACTTTGCAAGGAACACGCACACACACTTTGTACTGCATGTGTGCACTACACGTATGTGCTGCGAGTGTGTGTGAATGACGTGCAGTGAGGCAGGGGTGTTTTAGCCACGGGCATCACTACCTGACCCCCGTAGCTGTAAGATTGACAGCTCTGGTCCCGCCTAATTGCATTACTCTCCCAGGTGATTGGCTCACACCCTGGGGGCTCATTTGTCAGGATGCATTGTGGTAATGATGTAAATTAGCCGATCTATGTGTCACTCAGCCTTCTCCCCCTACTGATTGGCCCCGCTGTGCCCCAGGACTCAGCCCCCAGTTGACGCAGCCAGCTCATTGGTCCTTGGGGGACCAGGAAGTCCCCCAGAAATAGGGCTTTCCAGTTGGGGCATCCCTATGGGCAGATATTATCATTTCTCCAACCTCTTTACATGTCAGTCAAAGCCCAAGGACCGGTCCCTGCAGCCTCGGCGTCCTAGTGTAGGTTAATGTACTGCACACACACAGACGTACACATTCACATTCACACACCGACGTAACGGCCACAACTTTAATAACGGCACGTCGACCTAAACATATGCTTAGAAATTGTATAAATTCTACAACAATGAAAGTGTGTGTGTGTGTGTGTGCATTTACCTGTCAACAGTTGAACAGAAAGGCCACAGGCTCAGTCTCTGTCCCCTACTGTTTGCCCAGCACGTCTGAGCTTCATCTTGTATAAAAGCAGACATCTTTGTGGTGACAGACAGCTGGAAAAATACACTATAGAGACAAATACACTGTTGTTTACACACACAAACACACACACACACAAGCACACACGTTTCTTTGTCTATTTCAAAAGCTTCAACATGGGTGTTGGTACAAGTTCCTATCGTGTGTGTGTGTGTGTCTGTAGCACTCCTGTAGAGTGGCTGAAAGGCTTCGTGTTAGTTTCATAGCATTTGTTAAAGTCACTGTGGTTATACAGAGGCCAATATGAATAAAAACCAAGTAATGTCAGCATCAGTGTAAATCAATGACTTATACAGATGTAAAATAACCGGGTCTGCACCTCGGCCTGTGATCAATGCCTTTCCCTGAGTCATTGTCTCCATATTAACGAGCGCAGAGCTCCCTGAGGACGGCGTATGAATGGCTAAATGAGAGCACTTCACACCTCACAACAGGACGGGGTGTTGTTTTTACACCTGTCTTTGTTTGATTCCAGACCCTGCGTTGCAGAAGCCTTTTTAGACAGATTTGGATGCACCGTAGGTGTTTCCAAAACACTGGGGTCCTCATGAAACTCTAATTGCCTGCTCTCAGTGATGTGAATGTCCCTCGCACAGATTCCAGTATTGACTCGTGTGCCTCGCTGTCAGTGTTTGGCTAAATTAAAACTTTTCTCTGCATCAAAGATTATTCATTAATCAATTCATATTTTTATGAGAAACCTGGGGGGGGCTTGTATATTGACCAAAAAGATTTTTTTACAAATTAACAAAAGTAAAAGTTTTGAAAAAGGCAGGAGGAGTGACTCATTCTACCTGACATACTTTTTGTGTAGCACCTGGTGTGGCAGTGATGGATCTGTCATGGATCTGTGGCGAGAAAGAGAAACGTTTTCTTTAGGAGATTCATGGATGTAGAAAAGGCGGACATGGAGTTTGACTGTTAAACAGTAAATAACAAGGGAGATAGAACGAGTCGGAGGCAGATGATCTACGGGGCCAAACCCTGGAATGAAAAGCTGAGCAAGAAATAATAATCCCCTGAAATGAATTTCTTTTTTTTTTACCAAGTACCACGTGTATTTTTCAGCAGAGCAGGTTCTGCCTCATACAAGGGGGTCCTCCACTTAAGTCGCAGTTCCATTCCTACAGCACGACGTAACTCAATTTTCACCATAAGTTGGAACTCCTGTACTGTACATAAGTAGTTATGGCACTCACCTAGACTAACACTGTGCTAACATCATGATCTAGGACGTGAAAACAGCAGAAGAGTCTGATTTACACCTGGCAAAAAGTTCCCAACTAACGAAGGAAAGTGAATGTAGCACAATTCAATGTATGTATTCAGTTGTTGGTACATTTGTTTTTAGAAAATGTACAGAACGCTAATAAGCAAATTACCTAAAAACAGACAAACACACATTGACATGGATATGTCAATAACATAATAGAAAAGAAAAATGTTTCCAGTAGGAAATGTGTGTGTGTGTGTGTGTGTGTGTCTGTCTGCTCCTGCTGAGAGGGTTAAATCTCTTCCTGGCCCCACTTAACCAGAGCCCAGTGAAAGCTGGGTAATCTGCAGACAAGAAGCAGATATGGAGGGGGGACCCTGTGTGAGTGTGTGAGAGGGGGGTCTCTCTTCATGTCTTATTCATGTCTCATTAATACTGCAGCATGCCTTGCCTGCGTGTGTGTGTGTGTGTGTGACTGCGTGAGTGGGTTTAGCGATGTGGGACAAACCCTGCAGGGCACAACACAGAAATCAATTATTGTCCCTAAACACATAACCGCTGAAGGCACAAAATCACATCGCAATCTGAGAAATCTCTAAGACATTTTTATTAACAGTCACACAAACTGACCGGATTCCATACCTGGTTCAGATCAAGGTAAAGGTTCCAGTCTCCATTTGATCAGTTTCAGACTCCAGAACAAATGAACTATATGACACTGAAGCCAGCGGTTCTGAGGGATGAGGAAACACTTCAGTGACGTCCATCCCTTCTCCTCATTCCTCTCTTCGCCACCTCGTAAAAAGTGCTCCCGTAGACACTGCGTGCAGTATGGCAATTATCCACTATACTTGCTGTTTTCTCACGCTCTGCCAAGCACTGGCGTACACTTGCAGTTTATCTTTTACTGCCAAGTAACTCTATTTGTGCAGTAAAGAGCGGGGCAGGAGAGAGCAAGGGAAGATGCAGCACTTCAAGGTGTGTGTGTGTATAGAGTGTGTGCCTTTGTGACTACATAGGCGTGTTTGGCACATGTGTCACGTCATGGGAAATGATTTTCCGTGAGAGGAAGTTTTTACTGGGGGTTTACGAAAAACGACCGCAAACTTCTTTTAACATCTCATTTACTAACATCGCTTCTTTAGTAATGTTTGCACATGCAGACACACACACACACACACACACACTGAGGCGTCAAATACTAATATTTAACACATGGAGATACTACAGTTTTTTCTGAAAAGTTTCTAGCACTGTAATAAAAACAACAAATATTTAATATTTACAAACCCAAATCTATTTACATCATCTTTGGTTACTTTTCATGGTAGGGGCCTGAGCAGAGAGGGGAGGTCACAGGGGTCAAATTTTGTTAACAGACATTGACATCCAAAAGTAGCTTCCATCCCACAGTACTATGTCCATCGTGGTTTGACCTAAGGGCTGGAAGGTCAAGCACTTCCAAACCTCTGGCCCCACGACCTTTACGCTCAGGAATTGATTATTAATCCTAGAATCTTTTGACAATAATATTAGCTCTAGATGGTGTTAGCAGTAAATTCTTTCTCATTGACAAACAACCCCTTTTTTTGTAAAATTTATTACAAAGAGTAAAAGTCAAAACCCATTTTTACTGGTGAATTTGATGAATATGACTGTTTTTATTTATTTAGGTAATTAAAATTAAGTTTGGTGAGGGTTTTTTTGGGTCCGTTAAATGTTTCATTACATTTTTTTTGTCACTCACAAACTACTAGGTGATTATTAATTTCAAATGAAAACTTGTTTTTTTTTTGGAAATCGCTTTGTATTTTTTCAAAACCACACTTTGACAGATAATATTATCGTTATAAAAAATAAATAGTTAATTATAGCGCTTTCGGTTTAAGTTTGGTTGTGGCTAATTGAGAAAGAAAAAGAAAATCATTCCCACCCTGGAACAATGCCTTTGTATTAAAGTCTGATAAGTGACGTGGCTGCCCGCTCGGTCTGACCTTCCTGTCGTCTGGTCTTAGGCGGCGCTGACATCTAGCCCAGGTCCTGCCTCTGTGGGCTCCCAGGTTCACGCTGCAGCGGTTAATGGAGATCGGAGCGCTCTCCTCAAACTCATTACAGGTAGTAACACACACGAGCCGACGTCACATGTGTATTCACTCTCTGACCTGCATCAGATAATAAAATAATGTATTTGTTTTTATTTCACCTTTATTTAACTAGCGAGAACAGTCTTATTTACATCTGTGGCCTGGCAGCGTTTCTATAACGACTGATTAACATCCACCTCAGGTTTTAAGTTTTATGAGACCACGTTAATTTTATGTCATCACACACAAGTCATAATAATTAAAAGAAAGCCCATAACAACCTTTCAATTAAATTAAATTTTCTACTATCTAAGTGCAAGTGTGTACATTTTCTGCTTGGCTACTTATTGTATTTCAGGACTCATTTTATGACTTTTGCATCTGCACAAACCTGTATTATTTTACAACAAACCTGTCATTTGTACTCTGTACTCTGGGGAATAAAAATAGCATAATTTTTTTTATTTATCAACTTTCACCTTCAAACCTAAAGCTGTCACTTGTGCCTTGTTTTTTCCTTTGTTTGAGCAGCAGAGCCATCGCTGCGGGACCGTGAGGACCAGTTTGGCCGGACCCCTCTGATGTACTGTGTCCTGGCTGACCGCCTGGACTGTGCAGAGATTCTGCTGAAGGCTGGAGCCTCAGTCAACAAGACGGACCAAAGCCAACGGAGCGCTCTACACCTCGCTGCACAGAAAGTAGGGCTGGCTATAAATCTCCTGAAGTCCTGAAGAAGCACATCAGTTGTTTCATCTCTTGTGTTTTTATATTTATTACAAAATATTTTTTAATAATATTTTGCTTCAAGATTGGCTGTATCATAAAGCGATGGTGAGAACTTAATTTTGATGACAAAAAATATTTTTTTATCAGAACCTCTAGCGTGTAGCCACTGCCCCCTAGTGGTTGCTGTAGAGGCCTGAGGGCATGTGTTTGACAATATCAGGTGATTTTAAAATCCTGCCACACAAACACCCGTGCAGTGACTCCCACTCACACACACGTCAATTGGTTGACTCATCAGCATTAACACCAACATTTTCACATAATAGAAGTCACATGACATGAACCATTACAGACATTTATATATATATATATATATATAATGTCAGTCTTCTGTAGTGGGACAAGGCAGTGACGACTGATACGTTCCTATTTTTGTCTGTGCTTTTTATAATGGGACTGGACTTATACGAGATCACTAAAGTAAGATGAGCGCTAATAGGTTATTGAGATCTTTCAATGATGGGTGGTTGTGTGTGTGTGTCTGCGTGTGTGTGTGTTTGGGGATGCCAGTGATGGGGAGCCCTGTCTCTTTGACATCTGATCAATAAGTGGCTGAGACAGCAGGAGAGGCCAGGGATTACCGATCTAATTGGACTGAGAGTAGAGAGGACTGAAACACACACACACACACACACATTCACACCGCAGACTAGATGCATGCTCACACACGCAACAGATCTGTCAGACTGCGGCCTTGTGGTCACCGATGGTAAATATACAAAAAAAACTCACATGTGTACTCAGTCACACACACACACACCGTCGCTGTCCTCGGGCAGCTGTTCACTAATGCATCACTCGGCGGTTTGGTTTTTGACAAGACCAAAAGTGGAGATGATGATGCTGATGATGAGGGAGAGACAGTTAAAGGACGGTGACTCCTCCGGGCCGCAGAGCTGCTCTTTACTGTTAACTGCTCATCTCGCAGCAGAGCAGAGAGGCAGGAGGAGCGAGCCAAGACGAATGACCTACAGATTGAACCAGACATTACTAAAAGCCCTCGAATCAGTGTGTAGGAGCGTAGGTGTGTGTGTTCCACAGCTTCAGGCTGCGTTGAGACAAATACTGAGTGGAGTTGTTGATTTCTGAGATACTTTTCCACCAAAACTCCATGAGTATCAGTCTGTGTTTTTTGTGTGTGTGTGTGTTTTGCAGGGGAACGTCCGTTTCCTGAAGCTGCTGTTGTCTAGACGCGCCAACTGGCTGCAGAAAGATTTGGAGGAGATGACTCCGCTCCACCTGGCTACGCGACACCCCTCCCCAAAAGCCCTCGCCTTACTGCTCAAACACATCGGTCCTGGAGAGGTTGACACACAAGACAAGAACAAGGTGTCACTTCACAAATATCCCTGTCAGGTTATTTGTCTTCTCTACAGTCAACGGATTGTGTTCAGCCAGAAACCAGCCTGCCTGACTAACTGACCAACATCCTGCAAATAACATCGTACTGACTGACTGACAACAGACAGGGAGAAATTAGGGGCGAGGTTGTAAACACTGAGACAGCAGTGACTGGTTTAACAATCTGCTGCTCTGTACTCTGTTCTGCTGATAAGACCACAAGACACACACACTCTTCTTACTGGCTGGTGATTCTGCTGAATATCTGATAACTGTGGTTGGTTTTGTAATCACCTAACAAGCATCACTGTGTCAGGTGACAGTGGTCTGAGGGAATCTCAAACGGGTGTTTTGTTGAATTTCATCCTCAATCTTTCAAGTCTATTTCACACTTGATTAAAACGTATGAATATAAAAGTCAACATGGTGTCAGTCGACGGCAGCTTCCTCGCTGTTTTATCTCTGTTTCTTCCCCGTCGTTTCTCTGCTGCAGCAAACCGCTCTGCACTGGTCAGCATTTTATAACCGACCAGAACACGTTCGTCTCCTGATCAAGCACGATTCCAACATTGGCATCCCAGACAGTGAGGGCAAGATCCCGCTGCACTGGGCTGCACACAGTCAAGAGCCCAGCGCCACACAAACCGTCCGCTGTATTCTGGTACAAACACGCACACACAGCAGAGTTTATCTTCTTTTTTTTTTTTCATCCGTCTGACTGTGTCTGCTGTGTTGTGTACGTCCAGGAGGCAGCTCCCACCGAGTCCCTGTTGAACTGGCAGGACTACGAGGGTCGGACCCCCCTGCACTTTGCTGTGGCTGATGGTAACGAGGCCGTGGTGGAGGTGCTGACATCGTACGAGGGCTGCAACGTGACCGCTTATGATAACCTCTTCAGAACGCCGCTGCACTGGGCGGCTCTGCTCGGTGAGTGAGAACACGTCCTGGGTGTCACCTACAGCCTGAAGGACACTGATATTATGGTTTTGAGCTTGGAGGACGTGACGTAAACTGAAACTTTTTCTAAAAAAAAAAAAGGAAATTTACACCCAGATGTTTTTTTTACAACAGACAAATGGTCTAAAATCTCTCATTTTACTGCTCACAAGATTTTCAGACTGAGCAACACAATAACAACACAATAGTTTGTTGTTGTGAATAGTGACAGTTAAGTCATGTTTACCAGGTGTGAGGTTCATCCTGTTCTTTCACCGCTTTTGTAAACTGAAGGTCTAAAAGAGCCTTTGTTGGACCCTTGGTTTCACTTCTTTATTTACTGACTGTACACCCTTTTCCTCACCTTCACTGACGAAAAGTCTGTTTTTTTAGGCCACGCCAAAATTGTCCACCTCCTTCTCGAGAGAAACACATCTGGCACAATTCCATCTGACAGCCAGGGGGCGACACCTCTGCACTATGGTGCACAGAGTAACAATGCTGTGAGTCACAGACTGTTAGCCCGTTAATATGAAAGGTCATATGTTCAAATTCATAGACACAGATCTTGGTATAAATTGATTTTACTGATGTTTTATGGTTAGTACTGAAAGTGTCAATCTCATTCCTGACAGTTCAGTGTCCTAATATTATTTGTACTAATCATCACTGACCTAAATATAATTTCCCGTTCTTGTAAGTAGGAGACAGTTGGAGTCTTTCTGTCCCACCCCTCAGTTAAAGATGAACCCGATCTGGAGGGTCGGACGGCCTTCATGTGGGCTGCTGGGAAAGGCAGCGACGACGTGATCCGTACCATGTTGGCCCTCACCCCTCAGATTGACATCAACATGGCTGACAAGTATGGAGGCACTGGTGAGCACAGGAGAAACATGAGGATGACGATTACCATTCAATTATTGAAATGAACCAACCTGAGCCCCAATTACCACCAAATAAGTGTATATATGTTCATATGTGGGATTTGAGCCGACAACCATCTGATCTCCAGCCCACCTAGCCAGGGGCTATCCACTTGGCTGTTCATTGTTAGGATGATGTCACAGCAGATTCCCTGGAAGGGGAAGAAGAGACTGTGAGAGAGAGGCAAGTGATCCTGTCAGCAACATTAGAGTGTGCTCAGTGAATAGACTCCCACCACTGCCAGCACTGTTCCCTGACAAACACGCACAAACGTGCAGACACTTTGACCCCCCCAGGGGGTTATTTTGGACATATAATGGCCCCCACGATAGTCCCTCTGCTCAGCCCAGCAGTCATTGTTTATGCATGCGTAACATGCCGTGGTTGAGTCGTGTTAATGAGACAGAGCTGAGGCCAGTGCAGCTGACTGGTGTCCAGATCACTTCCATGCACTTGACTCAGGTCCATATTGTCCGGGGAACTGGAGGTAACAAGTGGGGGCTGCCCCAACCCTGGGAATGCTTCAGTGTGTCTGCCCTCCTTAAACCTTTAACAATCCATTGACAGAGATTTACAGCAACATAATTATGCGACTGCATTCCTGTTTTAACAGATTTTGTTTTTTGTATTTTTGCATTCCCGTTCACCCAGCTCTCCATGCAGCCTCGCTGTCGGGTCACGTGAGCACAGTGAAGCTGCTGTTGGAGAAGGGAGCCATGGTCGACTCTCTGGACGTGATGAAACACACGCCACTGTTCCGCGCCTGTGAGATGGGCCACCGAGATGTTATACTCACACTCATCAAAGGTTCCTGTCCACGCACTGTTTGAGTAACCGTATATGAAATGTAGATTTATACCAGTGTTGTTGAAACGTAAATGTTGTTCATGAAGGTTCTGCACAAGTGGAGCTGGTGGACGTGGATGGTCACACTGCTCTGCACTGGGCTGCGCTGGGAGGAAACGCTGAGGTTTGCCAGATACTGATGGAGAACGGGATCAGTCCTAATGTACAGGTGAGAACGCTGCACAGTCACAGATGTCACTCCTAAATGACCATTAACAAAGTCTTCATTTATTATTATATATTATTGTCTTATGTGAAAGGCATAAATACATTTATGAAATATGGAGTGATATGGTAATTGTTGCATTAAAAAGCAGTGAGCAGATCTGAGGGGCAGTTAAGAGGCAGCAGTTTGGGGACAAAGTTAAAGGTTAGAAGGTTTGGACATGTGTTGAGGAGAGATGGTGAATATCTCAACGAAGGATTTTAGAGATGGTAAAGAGAGGAGATTTAAGGATGTTGAGATGTTTAGAGTAAAGCCAAGTAGGTTGCGAAGAGGGGGAGACTAAAGAAGGAGAAGGACATTTGAGAAATACCTAGACATAAGCCAAGTAGGTCACGGAGATGAAAGAAGGAGAAAAAGGACATTTGAGAAATACCTAGACATATGTGTTTAGACTTTAGGAAATGGAGGTCATTTCATTCTTATCGTTCACGTGCCGAGTCCCTCGTGTAATAGATTATAAATCCTTAAGTTAAGCTGTTGAGTGAGGAACAATGTTATATGTATTTATTTTCTGCTGGACAGGACCAGGCAGGGCGGACACCTCTGCAGTGTGCTGCCTACGGCGGCTACATCACCTGCATGGCTGTTCTCATGGAGAACAACGCTGATCCAAACATACAGGACAAGGAGGTGAAAAGGTTTTTGAGGGCTGTTGAGTATAATGTGGTAATCTTTCCAGTTTGACTCAAGTATTCATCATGGTTGTGCAGGGCCGGACTGCTCTCCACTGGTCTTGTAACAATGGCTACCTGGATGCTGTGAAACTGCTGCTGGGCTACAACGCCTTTCCGAATCACATGGAGCACACGGAGGAGAGGTGAGGAACGAGCAGAGAGAGAGAGAGAGAGAGAGGAGTGCAAGTAAAGAAACAGGTCAGTGAATGAATGTGGTGTGTGTGTGTGTGTGTGTGTGTTCTGGGGGGGGACACCCCTCTGGACTATGCCCTGCTGGGGGGCCACAGTGAGGTGACCCAGTTCATGCTGGAGCATGGCGCCCTCTCCATCGCTGCCATCCAGGACATCGCCGCTGCCTCCATCCAGGCCATCTACAAGGGCTACACTGTTCGCAAGGCCTTCAGGGAGAGAAAGCAGCTCCTCATGAGGCACGAGCAGCTGCGCAAGGATGCAGCCAAGTGAGTCGAGAGTATCACGAACACACACTGTCATTTCTACTGTACATGACTGTAGGGAGTGGGGGGGGGGTGGGGTCCCATTAATGATCTTAGAATTTATCCTTATATAAAAATATGAATTTAAGAATGTAGATTTTAATGCTGTGAGGATTAGAGTATGTTTTATATTTATTTTTAATCAGATTGGGAATTTAGAATCATAAGAATTGTTGTGTTTAAAACACACAAACAGCCATCAATTACATTTTTTAACAATTCTTCATCGTATCTTATCTTCACATCCCATTCCCTCTTGTATCCTCATTCTATCTCCTCCCTCCTCCCTCCACAACAGGAACAGTCACACGCTCTCCATATCCATCTATCCGTCTGTCACCCGTGCACACACATTTGTCTTCTACCTGCCGTCTGCTCTGCCTCGTCCTCCTTTTGTCATTTACTCACCAGTCTCCTTCTTTGTCTCTCCTTTTTTTTTTTTACCTAAAATGGTATTTGGGAAGTTGGGGATTCACATTTAAACATTTTATTGATATTTTAAGCAGACAATAAACAGAAATGTAGGGATTTCTTTTAAAAAATATGTATTTAAATTACTTTTGGTCCACAGACAATAAACAGAGATGTAGGTTTTTGTTTTTCAACAAATATGTATTTAAATTACTTTTGGTCCAGACGGTGAATAAATAACCATAAGAATGTTTGTTTTGTTTTTTTAGTTTTCTCAGTTACGAGTGTCAGTGACAAAAGTTATAATGTAGATTATATGTTATATTTTTTATGTGAGCAGATAAGGGTTTGGTGATAAACTGTGATACTTCCACCAATGTCCAGTGCAGGTCAGTGGTGTTTTTCACTTCATACCATCATCAGGTCAAAGTGTTGTTTTTGTTCGTATTCAGGAAACGTGAAGAAGAACAGCGGAGGAGAGAAGCCGTGCAGCAGGTCATGGGGTCAACGACGGAGAAAAGGAAGACCTCTCCGGTGAAGACAGGAGATCAGGAGCAGCTCTCCTTGGTCAACATGATAGAAAACTTGTCCATGAAGGACTCGACAGTGGAAAAGAAGAAGTCTTCTAAGTCTGAATGTGTGAGGAGCAAAGAGGAACGGCAGAAAGGTAAAACACCAACACCCAGTCCTGATGGTTTTAATGAGGTTTCTCCATTACATTTGGTGCCCTGTACAAAGTCTACGACGGACTTCACCCTGAATGACAAACATTATTAACATTTTATAACCAGTCTCCAGAGTTATAGTTTTTGGAATTTCTAGAATGAGTATTTGCATAATGCAGCCAGATGGTGGAATTGTATTTTTTCATGTTTTTTAAATATGTTTTTTTTTCTATAATCCAAATTACCATTTGTTTCATCAGAGCGCAGGAGCAGATCTTCTAGAAGAACTAAAGCAGCCGAGCCCTCGGAGGCTTTGAGTCACCACAGCCACTTAAGTCCTGTAACAGCATCTGGTTCTTCCCAGAACACGAGGCTGAAGGAACTCCCATTACCTACTGGCTGCAGTCAACCCTCAACCCTTAAACCCAGACCCCCCTCCAAACCCAAAATCAGGGAACGTCCTGTTTCCACCAAAGGCACTACCCCATCAGGTGTTTCCTCCATGGACCACTCTGAGGACGTATCTGTCATAATGAGTAAGAGAGACACACACGTGAACGTGCAGAGTGCCCTCACCAAGACTGACGCACATGTGACTCAGAAAAAACATAGAAACCACAGAGAACACACGTCTGAAAGGAGCTCTACCAAAGACCAAAGTTCGATGGCCTCAGTGAGAATCGGCTCTCCGTTAGACCACAAAGACCCCGCGAGAAAGACCAGCACACATGCACTTGTTTCAACGCACGGACACAGGGGACACGACCGGGAGCTACGCAGCAGGAGGAACGACGCAGCGCGCATCATTCAGCAGACCTGGAGAAGGTGAGTTCTCACGTTTGTGCGACTGAAGCTCCTGTGGACCATTACCGTCCTCATGTGGTGTCCACATGTGTCTTCTCCTTTGTACATGCAAACCAAACACCTCTCCTGCAACACTGCCGCATCCTTGATGTGGATGTCTTTAACGCTGCAGCAGTAGGGAGTCAAACACGTAAGATGGGTGAGACCAGGACACAGGGACAGTCAGGCTCTAATCTAAAGCCTTCATACTGCTTTAACGAGGGGCTAAAAGTTCAGCCATGCTGTTCTAATAGCTACCAGCAGCCACTTCTCCCAGTCTCGCACAGTATTTCTCTCAGATTTTGCCAGAACGCTGCAGGAGGCTCGATGTTTCCATTCAGCTTCACCATCATGATCTGAGTGTGCTGCCCATTAGCTACCTTAAATAATCCCTGTTTATTTGGTTTGTCCTCAGTGAGGATAAGTGTGAAGACTTGCCAGCTCTTGTAACTTTGATCGCTGATTTTTCTTTTTTAATGACGTGCTCATTTATTTGTGTTTGCATGCATCTGCCGGCAGTTTTTGTGCACGCAGACAGAAGGAGGTAAAAGTGGAGCTGAACCACGGACACAGCAAGAAGAAGCTGGACAACAGAGGGCTACCTGCTAAAACTGCTACCAGTAAGAGCTCTGTCCTTCAGAGTATCTATGGTGAGTTCTCGAGTACCAGTACTCACTGTCCACGTTTCATTCACACTTTAGGAACCTGAGAGACCGGTAATTAATATTTCCAGTTCTCAGACAAAGCTGTCAGCCCTTTTAGTCATCATATGTTCTACGTCAGAACTTCTAACGTCTAACATTCAGTGAAACAGAGGAAGATCTGTGTTGGTTTAGGGTTGCATTTTTGTTAATGGTTCTGGCATATGAACTTTATTAATCCCTTTGGAGTTTCCTTTAGGAAATTGAGTTTTTTTTCTGATAGATACCAGATAAATGTGAAATAGTTTGTACCATAACAAATGGCATTTTGTTCAGTTCTCCAGGTGGAAACCAAAAAAATAGACTAATTTATACCATTTTTTTTTTTTATATGTCCATGCTTTTAAAGACGTTTATAAATTAGAAATGTAGTTGCAAATTAAAGTCATTTTGGTTTCAGGTTCCAATGAATGTCAGTGCGTTTGAGGCTTAAATCTAAAATATGACATCTCTTAATAAAACACTGATGGACTCTCGTGTGTTTCTAAAAGAACTTTTTCTGGTCTCGATTCCTTCATGGACTGGCGGATCAGGTCTTAGATTGGAATTTAAGGATCTGGTTGTCACAGCAGAGTCAATGCTGTGAACGACTGTTTGTGTGAACAGGAACTCTTTTAAATGTCTGGGTGATACTGGAGGCCACACGTCAGGAGAGCGTCAGTCCAGCTGAACGTGTGGAACCTCTGGTAGGGTTTCGACCCACAGACAGGTCTGACCTTCATCACACATCACCAGGTGATGACGGCAAGAAATTTAGCTGCGCCAAAACATGCGATCGTGCCCCTCATCTCTGCCCGCAAATGACCCTCACCCCCCCACTGCCCCCATCGACACATTCTCCAACATAACCTTCTGACATGTTTTTTTCTTTGCCCCTCCCCCTTTCTTACTACGACTTGCTCTCCCTGCCGCTCTCCCTCTCTCTCTCTTTCCCCCTCTCTCCCTCTCTCTCTCTCCGGCTCCGACAGTCCTGGCATTGTGAAAAGTTCAGAGCTGTCAGGAGGGAATGTCAGACAACTGCGTAGAGCTATCTGCAAAAAACACACAGAAGCCCCAACATTGGTCATTACCCCAACACACACACACAATCTATTCTTATTTGCAACCTCGTTTTCTCTGAGATAAGCAAAGCACCTAAACTAAGATATATGAACTGCATCCCAACTTTTGCTCGGACCTGTACAGAGGCAGGTTTAAGAACTGGACACTTTGGACTACGTAAAATAAAGAGCCTGGCTTCAAATCAACTTTTATTAACAACTTTATTCTGTTGGTATCACAGTCTGAATGACTGATGATTTTTTTTTAAATGAAGTAAATTACTAAAACTACACATTTTTTCACTCTGTCCCACTGCGACCCAGTACCAAATGACCTACGGATCGACAGCGATCCCTGGACCAGGGGTTTGGAACTCCTGTACTAAACAGTCTCCATAATATTTAGAAGGAACCGAGGCAGTTTGACGTTTTAACCGCATTCACGTTTTCCTCTTCTTTTTATATGTGGTGTTTTAATTAGAATAGCTGCTAAATGTCTTTATCAGTAATTGTTTTTTATCAATTGCCTGGACACTGGTTGATAAGACCAGTGCTCTAACCACTGAGCTCCTGGCCCCTTGTTAACCTGCATCACAGAAGCAGAAAAATGAACATACGTAAATAGCCATGGTTACGAAGCTGGACAAAGCAGACCAGTTTCTGGTGTGTCCTAGTCTTTGTTACACAGCAGCTGCTGAGTCAGCGAAGGAAACCACTACAGTTTGATACTCTGTCACTGCACTGTCCTGTAGGAAACTCCATGGCTCGACGAGGGCGTTCGTTGCGGGGATCACAGTCGCAGCTTCTCCAGGACGTACCACTGCGCACCCAGAGTCAGTGTAAGTCCATAGATAAAAACATACAAATAAATACGTTCTAAGCTAAAGTTCAAGAGTCTAAAAGTGGGGATGGTGGATTTTTTTTTTCTACAGTGAGCAGTATCGACTGTGTACACCTGACTGATGTCTTGGATCAGGCCAAGCAGTTCTCTTATCACCTGAGGCCACAAAGCGCTGGACAGGGGAACAGAGGACGTGGAAAACATTGAAGACTCAATACACACACACACACACACACACTGGGGATGTGTTAGTTCTTCACATAGACCAGGTCTCTTTACCTTAATTTTAACAATTACAAATCCATGCCCAGTACCGGCAATCTGATAATAATTCTAATCCTAACTCCAGACCAATTTTGAACCTCCTGTCCCCACATGTAAACCTATACCAGATATACCCAACGAACACACACATACGAACTCGTGCAGCTATTCTTTGCAGGACTTTGCATTGACTTGCATATATTTGTACAACTTAACCAGAACTTTACCCCAGACTCTAACCATTACCAGTTACCAAACCTTGAGCCTGGGAACTGAGGTTCTGCCTCACTGGGACTAGGGTTTGGTCTTCACATGGGCCGCCAGTAACAATGTCAGGTAAAACATTACAAATACACACACGCACACACACAGAGTTGAGGTTCGTTGATGTTTTCTCAGCTGACTGTCCGACTCACCTCCATAGAATAAGGATACACAGCGATTGTGCCAAGCTTTCTAAAATTAAGCTGTATGACATCAGAGACATGAACTCACAGGGTGGGGTCAAGTCTACAGAAACGGTGTGTGTAAAAGATAACCTTTCATCCATTGTGGAAAACACACACGCGCACACACACTTCAGCTCCCTGGTTCTCCATCACTCTGGCACACACACTGAGATAACCTTTCCTCCTGCTGTGGAGAATGAGGTAGTCTATCAACAGCCAGTCATACAGATAGCCCACCTGCAGACACACACACACACACACACTCTACTTAAACATCAGTTCTGGTCTTTAAATGCTCCTCTCCCTCAAGACAAACGTATCTTTTAACTAAGCCGTTGTTCTTTCTGTTTTTGTTTTTTTTTTTACTTAAATTTATATTTGCACAGAAACGTAATTAGACTTATTAATGTAAAATATAAAAATAAAAACAAACAGAACAGTTAATTTCAGATGGCCTTTCTTTATTCATTGTTTCTCTGTTATTTATTTTATCACCTTGGTAGGATCTTGACAGTACTCTGCAGAGAGAGGTGTGTCTCAGGGCGTCTGCTCAAGTCTCTGTCTTTGTTGATGGTGAGAGTTGAACTGAAGTCACTCTGGAGGATTAGTTTATACCGCATTTTACCCACAATTCTCAGGGGCGGTTAACAGTCGTTGGTACAACAGTGTGTTAGTGTGTGAGGGGAACAGAACTGACCACAGTTGCTGTGTTTTTTTAGCTGAATCTGGGCTGATTGGTCTGATTGTTGAGGCAGTGGGAGGAGCAGGAAATTGGTTGTTGCTTCCATTCCTTGGTTTAGCAAACCTGACCAGTTGTGAGGTCTTTCAGTCATCATCCAAACATCTGCAGAAACCAGTCTGTTCAACTGAGGCTGTGAGACTTGTGACATGTGTCTTTTCACAGCCGTGTTCTTGTCTGACGGACCGGTCAGTACATCTTCTGAAGGCCGATGTTCCCTCTGTGAGCAGACGAGCCTTGAGCCACTGTGAGGCTGTAGCAGTAGAGCAGATCTGTCAGCCACTGTTCCCTGGTCACAGAACGGCTGCAACTCTGAAACACATACAGGGAGTTAATCATTTGAAAAGCCCTACGCTACAGACCCTCAAAATTCGGCCCGCTGCCTTATTTTGGATCGCAAGGCACCGATTTGTACCACAAGTGAAGAGGAGGCTAATTTCTGAGTGTTTTGGTTTGGTCGACATGTGTGACCTGGGTCTGTCATCTTCATAGTTGTGATGTTCTGATAAGGTGTTAGCTAGAAGCTTTTATTTTAATACATTGTTATGTATTTGAATACTCTGGTAGTAGCAGGAGTCTAGATGGTCCAGGCCCCACAGTCAAACACACAAGGCTGCTGCATTTACCGTGATGTGTTGGATGATCTCCTGCAGGAGGGGAGCGTTGGCCATCAGCTGGTTGTGGAGTGGTGTGTGCTGCAACAGCATCAACAGGATCTGTCCGAGGTGTGGGAGTTCCTCGTCACTCAGATCCAAACACCCCTGCAGGACCATCCGCAGGAGGCGTGGGACGTTGCTCAGCGCTACCACACAAGCCCCCCATATCACCTCCCTGAAAGAAAACCAATGAAGGAGTCAGAACCAAATGAAAGAATTTTCAACAGAGTTCAGAGACTGGTGACAGTTGTTTGACCATTTTACTTTTTGTGGTTGGTTTCAGCAGGCGACTCCTGGTGGAAGGTCAGGAGATGAGACATCAGGCTGAGGCAGCAGTAAGACAGGAAACACAGTACAGGCTCGATGGGAACCATGGACGAGTCCAGTAATCTGGACATGGCCCGCAGCAGCCCGGCAGCCATGCTGTCAGGGACGACTTCCAACGTGATCTAGGATTCACATTCAGACACAGGTTATCGTTATGGCAGGAAGTAGCTGAGAGTAAAGCCCACTGTTTTAGTACTAGAGAGTACGGGGTCTGACGTCGCTCACCAAATATTTGCAAATGCCGTTTTGCAAGATGTCAAAACACTGAGACTTTGAGCCCATAAGTTCCAGACAGCGACAGACCTCCTGTGAATGGAACAGGAAAATGAACTGTAATGTCCTAAACAAACACCAAACAGCATTGGTCACATCATCGTAAGATGGTCACAAGTTCATATCCCAATTTGTCCAAAGGCTTTTTATCAACCAATCAGATGTTTCTTTTGTATAAATACTGTTGACAGTTACTTTACTGCACCAAGTAATGGAACAGTAACATTGGTAGGCAACTTTATTGATCCTTCAGAAGAGAAGAGAAATTGTTGAAATGTAAACAGCCTATACTTTTAAATCTCAAATGCAGATCAGTTTTTTTAGACCATGGCACTTTTGAACAGTGAGAAGTTAGCTGCAGCATTTCCTCATCACCTTCAAATCCAAATCAAAAAATTTTATCAGCTCTTATTAAATTAAAGTGCATGTGTGTGTGGGCGCTCGTGCAGAATTCGGTGCAGGCCAGTGTGTGCTGGGACTCTGCACCTGTTGGCATTCTCCCCGTCATTAAAAACAATCCAACAGTCTCATTAGTCAAACCGGAGTTGACACAGTGCATCTTTTAATGTCGACCCCCCCACCCTCGAATCCCCACCCTCCGTCCCTCCTTTCTACACGCAGTTACTTCCCCGCCCCTTCCTGTGATTGACTCAGACAGGGACATGACAGAGGCAGGATCTGAGGCCTTAATTGAGCAGTTGAATTAGTGATTATAAGCCCACACACATTTGCCCCAAGGCACCGTTACGTTAACGGTAATTTCTGTGGAGAAATGTCACAGTCCCATCATGCCATTGGCTTTCATTAGCATTTGTGCATATTCTGTATGCCCGATAACCACACTTTTCCAACCTGTGCAACGCGATAAAGGTCCCACTCGCTGATGATAAAGCTTCCACCCTCTGAGCTCCACGTAGAAGACGGAGACCAGGGGGAGACTGAAAGTCCACCCCCATGTCCAGACACTCAAAAACTTCTGCAATTTTCAAAACAATGATTTCTGAAGTCTCCAACTTACAGCCTTTTGACAAGGGTTTGAAGATAAAACTGGCAGGAATTTCCAAAGAAATAAACCATAAATCCAACCTCTGTCAAGATTCACTACAAGTGCAGAAGATAGTAGTCAAAGGGTTGGGGGGAGCAGAAGGGTCGCCATTGGCCAGGGCCACGGTTTGAATTTTACCCAGGACTAATTGAATGATTAATTCACCCACTCAGACATTGTTAATGACTGAGGTGAAACACTATCATTAATGCATTAAAATTCATAAACACAGACAGCCTGCAGCATTTACATTTCAACACTAAAACAAAATGACTTCACACCTTAAAAAAAGGTGTTCTCAAGCTAAGGTATGGGTACCACTGGTAGTACTTGAGCTCCCTCTTGTGGTATGTACATCAGAATAGAATTGTATTTATGCGAGGATCTCAAAATGAAATCTAAGTGCCTGTTATTGTGCTACTTATATGTAGTCAGATAATGTTCTTCATATACATTGCTTGGCTGAGCAGTCCTGTTTGCCATGCTCTATATTACAGTGACAAAATCATTCATTATTATGTTTATATAAGGTTTCATCATGCTAACTGCTAAAGAAAAAGGGGGGGGGATTACTTAGGGCAAAAATCCTAATGGAAACTCTCTAATTAACACACCTCCACGACATCCCAGTGGTGTGTGAACTGTTCCATCGGTGTGGGATACAGACTGAGTGGTGAGAGAGAGGAGCGAGGCAGGGAACAGCCGTCCTCCTGCATGGTGGCCAGCCTGCTGGATGAGAATCCCATCAGGGTGGAGAACAGGAAGCTGAAGTAGTCCACGTCCTGCAGAGCAGCTTCCTGGCTCCCAACTGACCAGCCGCTCATGGAAGACCTGGAGGACATGGTGAGTCAAGACATTACGCAAACATCGATGAACTGGTTTTCAATGTCTGCGCCAACACTTGGCCCTTTTCACACACTCTGAATGATCTACGTTTCCAACATTCGACATATGAACACACACTGCTTTGTTTCATTTTCATAAAAAAATATAGTATTGAAACGTGATGACGTTTCTTAGAATAAAATGTGACCCGGTTTCATAAGAGGTTCGTTATTGAGTGTAATTGTGGACGGAGACACAGTTGGGGGAAAAAAAATCTTTCTGGTCCTGGGGAGAGCATAGATCTGTATCAGTAGGAAAAATGTGTGAATAACTGTCTACTTTGAAAAGCCCAGGAGGAGCATGCCGTCAGACTTCACTGTGTGTTGTGACCATGCTGCATTCCAGCCTCCAAAAGAGCCCTTTGTGTCATAACCATTACACACAGTTCAATTTCTGCTCAAACTGGTTCTAAAACTGCCCCACTGACACAAAAACACACATAGACACAAGTGCACGATTAAATGATCATATTATTGAAAATAATACATAGTATTGAAAATATTAAATGTACAGGCCCCACACAACAGCACTTTTAAAGACAGGTAAAAAAACTAAAGAAATGTAGGACTTGTGTGCAGAAGATAAACACTGCCATCTAATGTTGGATGTTGGTAATAACAACAAATATTTATTTTAAGAAAATCTGCTAAAATCTTTTCATTTTCATTCGTTCCCCAATCATACTTCTTCATAATTGTTTAAAGAGAAAGGATTTCAAGTTTAAAAAGTGAATAAAGGGTAGAAAAAAGGCCAAACAAACATACAAACAAAAATAGACAATGACATATAAACTGTCAATTGGTTTCAGTGTCTGTCAGTATAAAAAAAAAGTGTATTAATTCAAGTGTAGTTGGAATGTGTACAAAATGTTAAAGCATTAAGACTTGTGTATATGTATGTATAGTATTGACCACTAGAGGGCACCCGCGGTTTGGCTCACCTCAGATTTATAATACGGATCAAAGAGGCAGCTAGTCCAGCAGAGATTCGTCCTGTGGTGCAGCAGCAGCTCAGGTTGGCTAACAGAGGCTGTGACATTTTGGACAGGAAGTAGAGCAGCTGCACCATGCGCTGCTGGGACTCTGCTGGTAACAGCACGAAAACTCCTTCGTCTGGATCTACAGACAAACAAACACTTTATTTCAATTTTTTAAAGAATGATGAGTGAAGAAGAGAAAACAAGCGATATAGACAGATTGATAGTCCTGGCCTCAGCAGTGTGGGCTCAGATAATGTGCTTGTGCAGAGTCTGGCTGTGACGCATATGCTGATGTCAAGGACTCCCAGACAAAAGGAGTCTTGTGATGCGAAATCACTGGCTCTAAAGCAGTTTCAGAAAGTCACCAGTGTGTGATTCCCTCTCCCTCCCCCCAGTGTCTCCTTCCTGGACCCTCTGAGAATCACCCGCTCATCTGCCTGATCATCCTCTGAAGAGTGGATATAAAAATGTATGTCTTTCTTTTAGGGTTAAATGTCAACTTTCTAATATTTGAGAGAGTAATGTAATACCATGTGCTGTTCCCCCATTGGGGTCGGGAGTAGTAAGTGGAGTAGAACTTGTAGCTACTGCAGGGCGATGAAGTACCCTAAGTATCCTGAATGTCTGTGATAAAGGGTCTGAAGATTATTTTTAGTAATCGATTCCAACGTGACGTCACAGACTCAGGTGGATGTGTCAGTGTATTTGTGTATCTACCATAGAGCTTGCTGGCGTTCGTCTGCAGACTGTTAAGCAGATCCTTGTTCCCACGAGAAGCAGCAGCGTGGATGGACAGGATGAGCCGAGCAGAGAGGGTGGGGTTCCGGTGGCCCAGCTGGGACAACTGCACCGGCAGTGAGGCCAACCACCGACTCAGTACTTTACTCCTTTAAAAATAACACATGACATGATTGTTTCATACAGTTTGATGGACTGGAGGACTGTATTAAGTAACACCATATACTTACTGTATATATATAGCTTGAAAGAGAGAATGACTTTATGTTTGAGAGGACATGTTACCTGGCTATGTGTATGTGACCTTGTTCCTGCAGGTAGAGTTTGCTGTAGAAAGACAGCAACAGGGATCGGGTTTGCAGAGTCAGGTTCTTCTGCTTATAGTAGATGTACACTGCTGCCAACAGGTCTTCTGTCACTACTGTGCCAACACATACATAAATGATGTGGTTATAATAATTATATAAATTAATAATTTGTTGAAATGTCCTGTCAATTCTCACCTTTGCTTCTCTGTGTCAGCACCATTTTCCACACAGTTCCCAGCAGCATGTGGAGTTGCCTGTAACTGAGTTTCGCACCGTTGCTCAGAGCATCTCGGACAAAAGTCCTCAGCGGTGTTAACCAGTCTCCATCTGTCTCTCTGCTGTCTTCTTGTCTCTGACTTAGAGACACCATGACCTGACAAAGTGTGATGTTCAAGGCCATGGGCTCCACAGTCAGACCTGGAATGGCTGCACTTTGTTTAGTCCTGAAAAAAAGACGGCAACAGCGACAGCAGAATTTGACATGTAGCAAAATGTGATTCAAACCCTTCTAAAATAATCTTATTCTTTAAAAACAAATTAATTCTCCCACAACAATATGGGGAGGTGGAAATGAGCAGCACAAATATTCTTGCCTTTTAAGATCCACCTTCTTTTTGTGTTTGGGGATGTCTTGAGAGTCATAGGGGAAGTTTTTCATGAAGTGCTGTTTAAAGTCTCCTAAATATTCTTTTCGTAGCCATCCATCCTAAAGAATCACCAGGCACATTGAGACTCGAGCAGATGTTTTAAGTGTCAAAGAAATCTCTAACTGTTTGCATGTTGTATCTTCACTCACCAGAGCATTCTGGTGCTCCTGCTGCGGTGCCAGTTTCCTCAGCAGCTGCAGTAAAGACAGCACCTGGAACATCACTGACATGGCATCTGGGGTTAAGAGGTGAGAATCCCCTGTGTTGTTCCAAGGAGATTCACTCGCACTGGCCTCAACCCAAACCTCCAGCAGCAGAGGAACAAGAGTCGCTGCGAAACGCTGAACAGCTTCAGCCGAGTCCAGACTCTCACTGACTGCAGTTCCAGAATCTACTTCAGGTCTTAATGAATGGATATTTAAAGGAAAAACAAGATGCAATAAAAAGGTACACAACACAACTTATGTACAGTTTGAGTTTTAAGGTATTTGCTAATTGGAAATAGCATTATAATTCTATGATACTATTGGCCAACAGTCAGGAAGTTCAGCTCTGGCAGCGGCCTTTTGGTGTTCAATTTTACATACCTTACTGTTCAGTTTACCTTTAATTTTTTTTTTAACAGTGGATTTTTATACATAAGTATCCAAAGACGTTTTTGTGATTTTATACCTAAGTCTGAAGGTGGAATGTGGAGTTGGTTTGGCTCCTGAGTTCTCGTAGACTTTAACTTGAACCTTGTTATAGGACAACTCCTCCCAGGTGAGATGCAAAGGTGTAAGTCTGCCTTCACCCTTGCAACCAAACACTCCATCAGCTGCAGATATGTCGCCTTCCTCCACTGGTCTTTCCTCAACTACTGCCCGAAGAAAACTTCCAAGTCTGGAAAACAATTCAAACAAGCAAGGTGAGCGACAAAAAAAAGATATATATTGTACTTTTATATATTGTACTTTTGGAACAATTTATCTGGTGGCAATACCTGAGCAGCACAGACAGCCGCCACTGCTGACTAGTAATAGCCCTGTTAAGACTGACTGACAAAGCCCAGGTTCGCCCCTTAGCATCCTGGGCCTTGTTGGATCCTCCACTGTTTTGTCTATGAGAAATTAGCTCCAGGAAGTTTGTGAGAAGTACTGCAGGACGTGCTGCGAGTAGAGCAGGATAGTGCTCCAACAATACATCCAGGATCTTCATTGCATCCTCCTGGATGCTTGTCTCGATGTGGGTCATGGCACACGACATATGGGCACTGAGGAGAGGGAAAAACGGTGCCACTCGTTCTGCGGGTACAGATTGTGCAATGAACCTAAAAGTAGTTATTAAGAAACGTTACTTAAGACTCCATCAGGCTGCCACCTTGAAATACTATGAATATTGATGCATTGAATAAAGTTCCTCTGACCGTAGAACACGTGTGGCTCCCATGCGAACATTGCCATCTTTGTCTGTGAATACAGCTGCAACTTCAGAAAGGAGGCGAGAAAGATTCTGCTCTAACAGTGATGGATTAGCAGACAGCAACTCTCGTAAGCCCAGCAAGGCACCATGTTTAATGTTGGCATTGTAATGATGCAGCTGAGACAGGAGGTCCTGTAGGGTGCAGAAAAAGGAAGCAAACAGTAAATGTTATTAATGTTATTAAAGCAGAGAGTGTAAATTCTATCTGAGAGGTGAAACATGGACTTAGAAAGTGTGGGTGGACTTACATTAATACTTAGTTGTCTGTGTGTGGTGGGGCCACTTGTGTCTTTCCTTAGTTGCTCAGAGAGATTAATTCCTTTGGTGCGGAAGTTTGTATTGGTGGAATTGTCAGCTTTTGGCTTCTTCTTTCCCACCTTTAATTTGACCTTCTGGAAATCATCCTGTCTTTTTTTCTTCTTGGATTTCATCTCTGCGGTCTAAACAGTGGTCTATGGTGAGAAAACACAAACTGATGAGATAAAGACACAGAATCAATGTATTTATCATATCCCCATTTTTTCCCTCCAAAGTCTCCCAGAATCTCTGACTATTATTTAAGTTAACTGCAAAGTTGCTCTGGATTTAACAGCATTTTGGTATTAAACCAGGTCTTAAGTTCACCCCACAAATTTCACTCTGGTTTAGCAGGGTCTCTCCAGCAAACATGTATTTTAATGTATCCACTGACTATACAATATAAACACGGCTTCGTTTATTCGTTTGTTTAGATTTTTAATGACTTGTTTCACTTGCTTGATAACTAACTCACACCCTGGCTTAGTACTTACCATAAAAGTAGGTTTAAATTAAAACTCGAAATCGATAATGAACAATTGCTCACAATACATTTGCAATCGTATATTACAACAAGATTTAGTAAGCAGGCTCGTGGTGATGTACCGGGTCCTAAATGTGTGTTTGTTTATGGGGGCGGAGCCTCGTATGTGAGAGTACAACGCAGCGATATAAAAGCGTGTTTGATCATCATGAAATAACGTTTTTTTTTTTTTTTAAATCAACATACTTAGCAAGTATCTTACAATATATCAATATTGTAGTCTTTTGTTAACTTGTAAATTTCAACGGTAGACTCTGACGTATTTACCAAACGTACGTCGTAGTCGTCCCAACAAATGCCTCAACAACTTTACGTTTTATATATATTTTATTATATTTATGTATACAATTTATAAATATATATGATTTAAATCTTTTACACTGCATGCGTAAAATTGACAAATCTATTGTTGTTAAATATGACGTGAAAGTCTGATATTCCCCGACTTTCTACGAATTTTATGCTGGCATTAATATTGCCAGCCTATCTGTCTACTCCATAGTGTTCGAATCTTTGTCCCGTCAACAAGCATATTTCCTGGTTGTGTTAATAGGCGTGAACATATTTACTACATTTTACAGGTAAGTTAAAATGTGTTTTGCCATTTTAATACCGGCCGAGAAGCTGTATAAAGACTTTGTTTTTACAGTAGGCTAATGTGGTGCATTGGGCCTCACATTCGTGACTGGCACGCCAATAAACATTCTAAGTTTAAATACTTAATAAGATTTTTTTTTTCCGGCAGCGAAGATATTGAAAGAGATGGAGGCCGAAGCAACGGTGGAGCTGAATCCGCCAGAAAGTAAAGAACCAGCGGAGCAGGCTCAAGACAAACAGGTGAGTCTGCTACTTAACAGCTTAACAACTAAATACAATGGCTATTGCCACGGAAAGCACGAATACAAATGAACAATGGCACCTTCACTAGAAGGCCGGTTGTTGAAGTGACCCGATAACGTGTAAGGGAACTTTACGAGACATGTCCGTATTGTGCATCTACATGTGCTCAGAATATCACTGCAAGTGCAATACAACGTTTATCACGAACTACTAAGAAACTACTGTGGATGTCAAACATAGTTGTTTCACAAAGAATCATCGTAACACTTGGTACTCTTTTGTTTATCTGTTGTGTTAAATTATACACCCAGTAGCATAAAGAATGTTGCAATATAAACTCTTGCAACTGTGTAGAATTCATTGTTTCCCAGATTCCATATATTGTTTGGAAACCCTCTTCATTTATGTTTTAATGGCTGACACTGATAGATCGAGAGTGTTTAAAAATACAAATCAAAAGGCTTCAAAACATTTTTTTATGTTCACTTGAATCCCGTATGAATGTATATTTTGTTACTTATGTTTGTCCCTTCCCTTTAACAGCCAGTGGTGACATTTTCGAAGAAGGTAAGTACAAAATGATGTTACTATTAGTTTGTAGTTATAATTATTATTAGTTATTCTTCTGTTGTTTGTTTTTTTAACATCGGCCCCTTGTATTTATTGCTTATCTTGCAAATCCCTTTCCTCAACAGCAGTATGAGATGTGGTTGATTAAATCTTAATTGTTTTAAGGAAAGTGGACTATGTGTCATTGTGACACAGCACATCACTGCACACAACGAAATGTGACCTCTGCTTTTAACCCATCACCAAAATGAACAGTGGGCAGCTTTAAGCGCCTGGAGAGAAGTGTGTGGGGACGGTGCCATGCTCAGAGCACCTCAGTGGTAACTTGGCAGCTGGTGGACTCAAGTCCGCTTCCTTAACCACTAAGCCACCACTGCCCCTGATTTAACCCTAACCACAACCACCTGAATGAGAAACCAGTGATTTCTCCTTTTCTTTATCAGACACACTGTTCTGGCTGTGATGATGCCTGACAGAGAGCTGGGCAGCAACAGTCCACATCAACTGGGTGGATTTGCTGCCCGTGTTTGTTCTCCTATATCTGTGGGCATGTGCCTTCTTGATACAGTTGAACCCACATAGTGGTCCAGCCCTCTTTTTTTGCTGCAACCATTTTTTTGTGCAGCAGCTTTTTGATACAATTTTTTTTTTGCCTCAGTCTAGACTCAGGCATCATATCATGGTTCTCTGAGTCTGCACCTGGTGACCGATTACTCAGTTATTGTTTCTGAGTTCTATCATGATTAAATCATGAAGTCAACCAATTATTTGGTTCAATAAATTAACCTGTTTTACTTTTCAAGCAAAATTACAGAGTTTTTCCCTCAGTAAAATTGCCTATGTAGATTTTTTAAATTGTTGTTTAATTATTAATATAAAGTGTACGTCTAGTAACACCTACACCAACCTACCTTTTAACCTTACATATCTTCTGTGGCGACAGCTGCTTGATGCAGATATCTTGAAGAATAAGGGAAATGATGGCTAATGGGCATATTAAGTGTTGTGGACATGAATGAGCAATTCAGTCCTCTGCACGTCTTAACTAATGCCTGTTTTTTGTCATTATCCTTCATTTGGATCTAAACGCTACATTGACAGAAAAGGCAGCCACAAAAAAAGAAGAAGCAAAATGCTGACATAGGTAAGTCTTGTGAGCAGGATGCTATTGCCTGTCTTGAAGGTTGAACTTGGTGACAAGATCACCACCTTTTAGGATTGCACTCTCAAGAGATGGGACTGTGGTGGTGCCATCCTTTCTTCTTTTTTTTTTAAGATCAGTATTTGCAAATGCAGAGCTCTTTCAGGATATTCTCCTTTTTTCCCTAACTGTTACTGTCAATTAAAAGAGGTATTAAAAACCTTCAATACAGTATGTTGATCATTTTTTCTACTTTTAAACAAACACAAGCTTACCTGGTGACACTTGGCAAACTGGACAAAGATGGAAACAGCCAAGCATCACATTTGTTTTTATATGTCTGAGCTGTTATTTGTCCAAAGTTCTTTTTTTTTTAACTTGTGCCTGTGTTGCTCTGTGTGGCATGACATTACGACATTCGTACTGCTAAATCCTTGCCAATGAGTTTTGAATGACGCAGGGTTTTTACCTGCATTGTTCAACTGCACTGCATTTCAAGTGTGACACAGAAGTGATCCACTTGTAGACTGGTATACAGAGCAGCAGTTCACCAATAAAGCTTGTGACTCTAATCCCCCTTTTTGGGCCTTTCGTTATGGGTGGTCAAGGATTACTGTTTTCCCTAAAGTCAACAGCCCAGGTTAAGTAACTAACAGCTTTTTTTTTTTTGCAATTGTCTGCTTGACATGACTGAAAAACACGGCAAGTAAACACAACATGCCTTTTAATCTAAAACTGAAATTGATTGTTGATATGTACAAATGAGTTAGATCATTAGATTTGAAAGTCTCTATATTTGGGGGCTGCTGTTGTTGTTTTTGCAGTGTACATGAAGGGATCATCTCTCGAGTCTTTGCCTCCTCTTTCAAAACAGTTGTCGACTGTCCACGATGGCATTATTGGTAAGCAAACTGGCAGTTACCCTCCTTTGTGTACCCCTTTGGACAGCTTCACAAATATATTACATGCATGTCCACAGGTCTTATGTGCGTTTGGGAGTATCGCAGCCCGAGTAAGTCTGTCCCACCTCACTATCAGTGCAAACTGTGTCTTGTGTCCTGCACGCAAAGTGCCATGATTGCACACATCAAAAGCTGGAAACACAGTTTCAAGTACATGGTGAGTATCTTTTCTTTCTAGGTTTGTAACAGACTGACAGACAAATCTTTGCAGGAGTCTTCAATGACTTGTTTCTGTCATTGACAAACAGAAAAAATTCCACCCAAACAAAACTAACTGGCAAGTGGAAGAGGTCACGAAAAATTCTGCTCTAAAGAATAAAGTGAAAGAAGCTGCCCTCGAGGTAGAAAAAATAGAAGGACAGGGGAAACCTAGAGTAAGTAGAACTGTTAATTAATAAATTCCATAAAACTGTCAAATAGAATTCGCTCTTTAATGATCACCCCAATGATTACTAATTAATTAATATTCTTTTTTTTTAACTCTAGGTGGTACTTAAGGAGCCGTATGAAGTACCAGCTTTCCAAGGACTTAGTAAGAAACTCACTAAGAATTCCTGAATGAATGATTTCCTGTTGTTGTCTTCAAGAACAGTGTCATTGTCTATTTTATTTTAACAGCTACAGCATTACCGAGAACTAAACGTAAAACTAGGCAAGGAAAGGGACCAAGACCACCACATTTCGGTAAGTTTGAGAAACCTAGGGGTCAAAGATATTCAAACATGTAGTAAAAACCAAGAAAAATTTGAAAACCTATACATTTTGGGAGACTTTTTACAAGGGCTATATTGTGATGGCTAGATGCACAGGACAGTGCATTTCTAAAACTAGAGCTTTTGTGGGGTGTTCCCACTCTGCAGTGGTCAGTACTTACCAAAAGTGGTCCAAAAAAAGAGAGGTTCACTGGCAGCTAAGGCTCATTGCTGCATGTGGCAGTGAAGGCTGGCACATGTAATCTCATCAAATGAGCTACTACTGTAACTCAAATTGCAGAGGAAGTTGACAATGATTTTGATGGAAAGGTGTCAGAATATACAATGCAGTTTGTAGAATATAGTGATATAAAGCCCTAGACCATAGAAAAAAAAAACAATAGTCTGCATGTTTTGTTTGCCACATGAACAGATAACTGTGTTTTTGTCAACCAACATGGGGACACATTGCAGTACAAATGAAAATGTTGAGTTTTTTCCCCACCTCTTTATGCATTTTGCCTCTTTGATATTATTAATTATGTGTATGGCTCTCCCTTGTAGGTCCCAGGTTCTCAGACCAAGCATTTTCAACAGAATACGCTCCCCTTGCAGATCCTCCAAACTACCAAGATGAAGATTTTAGGGAGCGTAGCATTGGAGACTACTCGTATGAGGAAGATTTTTCTGACTCAGATTTAAGATCTTATCCACACAAAAGAGGCAATTACCTTGTTAGAGATCGAGATATTTTTGGAGCTGACAATGGAAGAGAAGACTACAGGAGTGGGCTTGTTGAAGAGGACCAGGGTAGACCATATTATGATGACTACCGTGACATTGAAATTGACAGAGAAATGGATGGGCAATTGGATAAACCTGGATTATTGGAAGAACCTCAAAGCCAGAACACTCGTAGTACATTGCTGAGCTACCTGGTAGGTCTCATGTTTTACATAAGCTGGTAAAAATGTTTTACATAAGCTGGTAAAAATGACAATCTTGTTTCCAGGATACCTTCAGAATAGAGAATGAGAATGACGCACAACTGGTTCTGAAAGTGACACAGAAACTAACAGATGCACTGATGGACTACAGACTTCGGAGTACTTCATCAGTACGACTTTTTCACAGTTAGATAAATCTGTTAGAAAAATTATCAAAAACATTTTGGTGATACTCGTCTTGTCCTTCACAGGGACCAAGTCTGAGCAGCTCCTCAATGAACTCCACTGATCTGATGAACTACTCTTCATCATCCATGTTCTCAAATGACAGATACTCCAGTAGTCTTTCAGGTACTTAAGCGCTGAACCAAATGTTACCATTTCAAAACACAACTGCTTTATTGGTTTGAATAAAAACTCTGTCTTCAGATCCACATGGGTACCATGGTAATCGACGGAGATATTACAAATGATGTGGCGTCACCCTTCAAGTCTTAGGTGCATCACAACATTGTAAACTTCATTTTTTTATAAATGTAAAGTTAGTTTAAATTGTGCATTACTTCTTGTTTGCAACCATTTTTTCTCACTTTGTTTAATCCTTTTAAGGTCCAGTCCTATTAAAGATTGAGGGGAAAAACCGGTTTGTTTGGAAACCTAGATTTATTTAATTGTGCAATTTAATATATTTTCAACACTGACTGCAGTCATTCTCTTTAAGTTGAAATTGTTCCTTTTCCAACAAATGTTGCACAAAACAATGTTTAAATATTAACTTGAAATAAAATGTTTAGAAGCACAGCTCAACCCAAACTGGAAAGAATAAAAGTATCACACCACTGGTTCTGAGAAAATCCATAAAAGATTGTTCTAATCAGAATCAATGTCATTGTGTTTTGCGATGAACGATCAGAGGTTCAGGTTTGTTTAATGCTTCTTGGAAATGTTGTCCTGCTGCATTTAATTTGGTGAGAATGGCCTTTATCCTCAAGAGGTTCTGACCATTACTGTAAACCCATGCACCAGAGCAGACCGTTTATCAAACGTAAACAGAAACACGGCCTCACCAATACTGTTTTCATTGATGTTCAGTAGTAAAACTATATCCTTTTCAAATCTTAAGATTAGATCCTTGCGTCTGCGCCCACATTTTCTCGTGTAAAGGCACATTTGCATTTCCATGTCGATTGTATGTTTTTCAGTCAAGTTGAGATTTCTCTATTGGGTTCCTCATGTCCCCAGGATTGGGATTTAGGTCATCATATTCCTCATCTTCTCTTCAGTGACTGATGAGACTTGAATGGTGCCAGATCCGACGTGGCATCCAGAGAGGTCAATTGCATATTCATAATCCTCAATGCAGTTAAAAATAAGAAAAGCTGTGTCAGTTCTGTTGCCTTTCTTATCAAGTAGAATCTGTATATTGTTGTGAGCAATGTCAGGACATGCAAACAGTTCTTTTATCTCAGTTTTGGTCATGTTTTTTGGTAGGTTTCTGGCCATGACAACATACTTGCTTGTCAGTAAAGACTTTGTTTTTCTTGGACTATGTGGCAGCCGTTTAAAAGAACTGCTTTCAATATGCAAAGGAGAAGTAGACATTAGTTTGTCATTTTCAATGTCCTGGCAAGTCTTGGAGTATTTTTCTTTATTGCCTTCATGATGAAATGCATTGTCACATTCTTGCAACACACTGGTCCAAAGCTTTTCAGTAGCGGCACGTACTTCCACACAGGCCAGACCCAGTAAGCGCCCGTTAAAGTAAAGTGCGTCATGTGCATCTTGTGTGTTTGCAAACTTTACAAGGCAGCCATACTTAAGTCCCAGCTTCACATTCAGGATGACTTCTTGTACAGTCATGCTTCTGAAAAATTGGCATATGTCCTCTTTTGTGGTTGATGCCGGTAGACCAAAAAGCCGGACGTAACCAGGCTGTGTGTTCTGACATAAATCTTCTGCTTTCATCACCGTTTCATATGTCCCAGATGGAGATTCATTTGTGGGAAAATTATTTTCTGCTTGCGAGCTTCCATTTTCATGTTTGGTCTGTAGTCCTTGAAGAACTGTACAAATCCCAAGAAGAAAGGCTGTACTTGGATCAAGTGAGTTTACATCTGAAGTTGAAACATTCGTGGCATCTGGGGACGCAGGCTCTGTAAGATTTTTAATACGGGGATCACGTAATCGAGGTTCTGAAGATGGGGAATATGCAGGTTTGGGATCACTAAATGATGTTTTCAGTAATGACAGTCTGGGATGTGGACGTGGTTCTGGTGTTTTGACAGAATGCCCTGCTATATGATTGTCTTTCTCTTTTTCCTTTGCTTTCCTCTTCATTCTTTCCTTTAATTTGTGTTCCAGCTCACCCATACTACTGATCCGTAGGATCACCTTAGATCCTTTGAGTGCTTTTCCAGAATATCGCATGGCGCGCTGGGCATCTTTTTCTGTTGTAAACGCAATGAAGGCCTCTCCAAGGCTCCCGCCAACGATCCACACTCCACCGTCTGGAATGTAAAGGCATTTGAAGAATTTCCTAATATCCTCTAAACCTGCCTGTACATTCAGTCCTTTCAGACGCAGAATTGTCATTTCCTTCAAGCTGTTTGGCTTGTGTCTGAAAAGTAAATGGAGAGATATTTGACAGATAAGTTTACACAGAGTAATCAGACCTGGGGAAGGGAGAGCGTCGCGGTGAGCTCACTGTGTATAAAAACAAAACAAAAACGATGTTCCTCTAAAAAGCGCACGTTATAACCTTAAAACCTTTTCAAAATAAATGACGCTCCTTTGGTCGGTGGCACATGTAGTATCCGGACTGTTGACTACCTGCGTTGATTTAAAAAAAACGTGGAATCTCCGATGCTGCTGCGTCTTCTTCACTACTTCTACTTGTGTGTACTATTTCACTACACTGCCCTCTTTTATTCAGAAGTTTTAGCGCCACTCAAGCGAAGCGCCAACTTCTTTTTAATTTATTCAAAGATTTCTTTATACCACAACGAATCGCTGGGGTGATAATAATACTGATTTGATAAATACAATGTTAAATGATTATTGATAGACATTGCAATGAGCTGTTTTAAACATACATCCGCCATTTTGGATGAACATCCGGTAGACTAAAACATAGTGTATTATATTTGTTTGTTTTGTTTTTGCGCTTAAATGTTTGCTTAGGGCTGTTAAATGTTCTTTGTTGTGCTAATGAGAACATGCACGTAAAATTAACATAATGTTTTGAGTACCTTAGTACCTTAGTTTATTTACCGTCATTATAAAAAAATGTAAAAACTGTCCGGGTGCCGTCCTTTAAAAAACTGTATCCATTGTTATTAAACCAATATTGCCAATTTCACTTTATTAAGTTAGGATATTTTTCCTTTGCCAAATTTAATTTTTTATTAGTTTTTTTAATAACCTTTTGTGAAAACTTTGGTAAAACGAAGAACTTACCTGGGAGATAGACTTTAGGTCTTCCCAACGCGTTTGAAATATACCACAAGTGGGTGGTAAGTAACATGCTCATGGAGGAAGTGAAACAGCTCCTCACACTTCCTCATTTGACCTTTTTTATACCGAGCAAACTGAAATAAACACTGGCTTTGTTAAAATAGAAAAAAATTAAATTGATAAAAACGGTCAATTTTGTATTGTTTATTCTAAAGAGGGTTATTTTCACTTTCACACATTTATTTCTCAAAATTTCAGAAATTAGTTTAAGCATTTTTTAAAATAAGTTTTAAAAAATGTTCACTAATAACTAAAGTCACTTGAAAAAAAAAGTAATAACTAAAGTCACTTGAAAAGAAAAGTTTGTTTTCCACCGGAAACATGTCGTTGACGCGCCGAATAAAAGGATTATGGGTAATAGGAACTCCATTCTTTGCCATGGCGACGGAGACGCTGCCGTCTGTTTTTAACAAACACTATTTACCCTGTTCTCTCCTTTTGTTGTTATTCACGAATGTACTTTATTGTCAGCAGTTTATCGTCCCATTTAAGACTCCTGCAGACTGCGGTGTTGAAGAGTTTTACGACATTTCCAGCATGTCGTGTGTGAGGTGCGGTTCAAATCAGCTGCGGAGCATAACAGGTCTGTTACCATCGTACATGTTACTGATATTAGTCCAACAACAGCGCTATTGCACTGGTTTTCGTTGTCATATTTCCAACCTAAACCGATTAAAACGCGTAGAAACTGCGTAGAATCCCAGGTAAAGCACACCGGTACAGGTGTCCCGTTCCTGGTCGGTTGTTCGTCTAAGGGGGTTAGTATCCCTCTACCTACCTGCGGTACTTCAGGGGTTCTATGGGTCTCCTTATGCCGATGGGCGAGGTGACTCGTCCGGCTTCTGGCTGTCAAACCTCTGAGTGTCTATCCCACTCTCGTCGCCACCGCACTCAGAGGAATAGCCTGTTTATGGAAGTGTGCGGTGCAGTCATTCACGACAACAGACCTCTTATGATTGAAGACTTAAAAAAGCGTCACCTTGCATGAATCTTCATCATTTCCTTAAACAGCTCTTTTTTTCCATTCTAGCTGTATGACTGTATTTTAACCCCTCCCCTGTTGGCTTACTCCCCTATTTCCTCACCTCCAGCACTATGACTTACACTTCTTTAGTTAATATATTCCAAAACATACACTGCAGCATATCATCATCATGTTGCATATTCTCAGATTCTGATTCTGATTAGTTTATCTTCACTTTTTCTTTACAGTGATTATAAAATATATTTTCTGAATATCGAGATGCTTATCTGTGTTTATTTTTCTTTTTCTTTTTTTTTTTTTGCAGGACTGACCTGAGTTTGCAGAACTGGTTACCGGACTGTCACTACTGATAAGGCCTCCATCACTTGTCAGCAGTGTCCCACTGACCAACCTGTATGTGGAGCTTATGTGTGTTATTTTTGTTTGTTTTGATGAAAATAAAATAATAAAAATCAAACAACACTTTTACCTGCAGGCGGTCACAAAGGATGGTTTTGGGTGCATTCGCTGTCCAGGCAGCATCAGTGATGACGGAAAGTGTCTGTGTCCAGCAGACACCGTTCTGGGTTAGTTGATGATTACCAGACCATTGAAGTCATGTGTTGTGAGTATGTATTTATAAATAACCCTTGTTTGTTTCAGTGGAAAGGGATGTGAATGGTAACTTTCTGGATGAGGCCAAGTGTGAAGCCTGTAATGGAAACATCCCTGCTCTCTCTGTACCAAACACCTTTGGAGACAGGTAACAATCAGTGACATGTAATAGAACCTTAAATATTTGGCTCCTACTGACTCCAGTTTTTTTATTTAAAAGAAATCTAAATAACAACAATAATAAAAATAATAGTAACTATAATAATAAATTATTAATAAATAAACATTATGTGAGAAAAGAAATGTAAAAAGAAAACTATATATAAACGTTTGCAAATAGCTATATGTATATATTTATGCATTCGGGTTATTAACATACCATTTTCTAATTACGTCTTATTATGTTATATTATGCCTCCTCTGTTTGACCTAATGGATTAGAAAAACAGCTGATTTTCTGGGAGTTATGTATGAACTGTATTCTCTTTTAGATGTGAGAGATGTCAGGCTTCCTTCATTAACACCTCCTGTGTGTGTAGCTCTCCAAACATCCTGGTGAGATCAGTCAAGGAGCTAGTAAAAGACTAACGTCCTAGAAACCACCCAGACACACAGACCATGTGTATCATCGTGGTTTATGTTTTACAGGCAGGTGGATTATGTTTTCCTCCAGGCATCCTCGCACCAAACGCAAACCCAAATGTCAACTATGCTCAGTTGGTGAGCTGTCTTCTTTGCATTTACATTTGTCTTTCATTGGCTCTCTGTTTAAGACATTTTCTAATGTATGCTTTTCCTCTCTTCCTGTTGTAGAAGTTCAGTGTCCAGTCTGCCTGGTTTGTGAAAAATCTGTACTCTTCAGCAGCAGCCTGCCTTGTAATTTCTATTTATTTCTATAAAAATTACATTTCTTATAATTATATGAAAAATCTACATTAGAAAGTATGATCTAAATCAGGGATGGGCAAACTAAGGCCCAGGGGCCGGATGCGCCCCGTTCAGCTTTTTAATCCAATTGCCAAACTTTTCTTGTAGAAAAGGCTAAAAGCATTTTAGCCTTTATGCATGACTTTTACATGTCATTTATCTTAGTTCACACGAACACTCCATCTATCTGCTCCTGATCTGCCCCTCCACCCCCCATTCAATTGTATGACAATTGTTGACCGTGAGTCAAAAAGATTGCACACGCCTGATCTAAATAATGCAGTACAGATAAGAGGGACACTTCATTACTACTAACTTCTGTGAATACCATGGGTTTTCTGTGTCGTGTGTGTAAACGAATTATTATGTGAATTCAAATTGTTCCTTCAGGTCTTTTCTAACCTAACCGCCTGCCAGGCCCTGGGGAACATGTGTGTGTTGAACATGCACTCCTTCAGTGGTGTTTCCAACGACGCCTGTGGCCTTTTTAACGCCATCTTTAGATCCAAAGCTGCCATGAGCTCAACTCACGACATTTCCTACTGGTAATCACAACTTCCAACTTCACATCTTCCAATTTCAAAAAAATGTACATGAAGATTATTTATGCCACAACTGTGATACATTAAATAATAATAATGTGTCCAGGAGATCAAATCTACCCTGGCTTTACTACGGAGATGAACCTGGACTGGCAGGACGAGTTCTTCAGACTGACCCTGTTCCTGTTAGTTTCAGCTTTAGAGGAAAAAATAAAGTAAGTAAGAAAACTGTCACAAACCTTTGGGATTTCACAAAAAAGTTATAAAAAATATACAGGGGATGGTGTTTATGTCCAGAAATGTTTTTTCTTGTCTGGCAGAACACTGACATTAAGCTGCTCACTGCTGTCTATGATGTCGGAGGACAGTTTGTCAGGTGGGAAGCAATAGGACGGGGTAATCTCCAGGTGAGATGTCAATGAAACACAGTCTCAATACACACATAGTAAAGTTGAAATTAAAATGAAGTGATTACAGCTACAGTTGTTCACTTCAGCTCTTTTCTTCTTGTTCTTCTTCAGCTCTGCCCTGACACAGCTGTCAAAAAGTCTGCAGCTCTCAGCTTTGGAACTGCCTACAAAGAAGGCGTGAGTTCTTGTGTTGATATTTCAACCACTGTTTATCACTTTTCTATTAAAGCTTTGTGTGTGTGTGTGTGCACAGTGTGATCTCTCAGTGGCAGACTTGTTAGAGAACCATCCCACGCCTCTTTTCTACGATGTGTTCATGGACCTTGGTGGCGGAGAAAACAGGAAGCTGCTCCCTCTGCCCACGCTGGTGTATAACCAGCAGTACAGTGGACGGTTCATTAACCAAGGTGCTTTTCTACTCTTTGAATGTGTTTGTTCTCAGTGCCTGCGTGCTGTCAGTACAATTCTGCACTTAAACCATGATAATGAGTGTCCAGTGTGGCTACAGTAAACACCCCGTGACTGAAGTGTGGGAGAGTTCTGTTTAATAACTGTCTATCAATAATGTGTATATATATATATATATATATATATATATATATATATATAAGTATATGTGTGATTTACTGGTCTACAGAGAGCATGAAGAACTGGTACCTGTCTCGGCGCATGTTTGTTGTCGACACATTGAGTGGTAGAGAGAAGAGTGTGAGCCTGTTGCCTAAAGTCATCCGTGTGGCCACCAGCGTCAAAATTAGGTGTGTGTTCGTCCTGCTTCATAAATACGATAAATTATTAATGTGATAAATGAGGTGCACACCTCAGCTTTACGCCGATGTTCTTTTTGATGTTTTATGTAGGTTCCAGCTGGTTCCGAGAACGCAGCAAGGACAAGTGTTTCCTCCTCTAATGATCATAACCTACTCTGATCTCCTTATTACTGACGTCAACAGTCAAACTGTTTCTGTGAGAACACCAACACACACAGACACACACACATACACACACAAACTTACCTTCAATAATGTTTAACTTATTTTTATCTTATTTATTTAAATTTAGGAAAGACACACAAAGATCCCTTTTAACAGCTCTGTGTTTTTCTTTGGTTTTTAATAGCCATCTGCTGCCACCTAGTGGAACTGTATGTTGTTGTTCTGCCTGTTCCATTGACGAAGAAATTCTTAGCAGTGTGAAATACAATAATTTACCATAGTACAACTAATGATCTCTCATGGCACACTAATTAGCCGCAGCAGTGACCTTTTTTTCTGCTGTCAGGTAACATTTGCAGTGGAGTATGAGATGGATCAGAGTGACGCTCGCATGAAGACAGATGTGAGTATAAACAAATGAATCGTTGAGAAATTTAAATTATGAAACCACAAATATACGGAGGAATCACCTGACCTTCAACCTGTTTTTACAGACGGCCCTTGGCGTGTTGGGCGGCTTGGCCGTGCTTTACTCTCTCCTGAAGACCGTCAGTTGGAAGAGAAGGATCGGTTCTACGCTCATTGATGCTGGAGTATGGTGTTTTCAAACAAGTCGACATTAAAATCCATTTCATCCGAGTGTTGGGTCGAAGCGTGAACGTAATGGAAATGTCTTTGTTTTTCTTGTTTCTTAGACGATGTTCAAGTTTCTGTTGTTTTATTCTGGAGACCTAGCCAACGTTTTCTTCGTAGTCACCGCAGGAACCGGGCTTTACTGGCTCATTTTTTACAAGGTCAGTATCAGTCGCTGAGACTCAGTTTATGGACGTGTTTTATTTACACGCTTGTGAGATATAAATGTTTTCCTCTTTTTTGCCTCATTTCTTTCTTAATCTGTTCTTATTTTTATTGCTTTTCTTTATTACTGTTTCTTTGCGTGGACTTTTTTGCTCTCTATAGACGTTAAAGGCAAGTCTTTCCTCTTCTTTTTCTTCTCTCCTTAATTATTTTTGTTGAGTATTATAGGAATCTGTGATTTGAGTCACTGGCAGAGTTTATTAAGATTTTTGTTTTACATTTTCATCCTTAGGCTCAGCAGTTTGTGTCAGTGTTGTTACCACTGCCGGCACAGGAGGAGCAGTTTGTGACATACATTGGATGTGCGTTCAGTCTAAAGGTTAGAGAAGATTAAAAAGTGCTTGTTTTTTTTAAATACTTGGATATAATCCAGTTACAAACTATGTTTTGGATTTTGTGTTTTTTTGTATATCCAGGCCATCCAGTTTCTCCACAAGCTAGTCCTCCAGGTGTCAGTTGATATTTTTCTGATCGACTGGGAGAGGCCACGAAGCAAAGCCGGCAGGACAGTGCAAGGTGTTAACATGTCATATTCGGGCAGTCGCACGTCAACTAGCAGATCAACTAATAAATCCTAGCCTACGTGTTTATCCTTGTTTCAGCTTCCGGTGACTCAAAGCGCGACCCTGTTCCCGTCAGCATCTGGAGAACCTACTTTGTTGCCAATGAATGGAATGAAATCCAGACCTTCCGCAAAATCAGCCCGACGTTTCAGATCATGGCTGTGCTCTTCTTTCTTGAGGTTAATATTCGACCCCAACATCTTTAATTCTCCCATGCTTCTTTACCTCATTGCTGGTGTATCTCCCTGTATTGGTCAGGTGGTGGGTTTCTCTAACCTGGCACTCAGAGACCCCTGGTCAAATTTAAGCCGTTCCAGTCAGGCCTACGCTCCTTCATACAGCCTGATTCTTCGCTATGGTCTGGCAACTTCCTTATGGATCTGCATTGGACTGCTGCAGGTGAAACGACCACAGTGTGGCAGTGTTTTTACTTTCATTACCTCCAGTGAGCTCAAAAAGTTTGAGTATTTTTAAAAGTGTTCAACAACAACCACCTTCTCCATGTTTACACATATTTGTTAAGGACAATGCTACATTCTCTGGGTATAAACATGACCTTGGTTTTTCTTATCTATGTGCTGTGCTCAAAAACAACAGAACCAGGGCTTATCTTGCCCCCCACACTCCTATTTTTGGGGGGTTTAAAAGGCAGTCAGCAGACATTTAGATGTATAACAATTGCATTGTTCATTGTGTGATTTGTTTATATGAGAAAATGACTTTGTTCTCGACCAATAACCACTAACGTCTTGTAACATTTTATCCTCTCAGGTGATTTTCTTCACTGTGATTTATGAACACTTTTTTGAGGACAAAATCCGTCAGTTTGTCGACCTCTGCTCCATCAGTAATGTAAGCATCAAAAGGTGGTTGTGTATTTTCCTTAACAGTTTAACGTGTCTTTCGAAGGTTTTTCATGAGTGTATTTTGCGGCTGTAGATTTCTGTGCTGCTGTTATCTCACCGATGCTTTGGCTACTACATCCACGGGCGCTCAGTCCATGGCCATGCAGATACAAATATGGAGGAAATGAACAACAACCTGAAAAGAGAAGCTGTATGTACACCACATGACCCTGTTCACTAGTGACTTATGCATCATGATAGATTTTTTAATAATGGTTCTGTGTGGGGTTTTTTTGTTCCAAGGAGTCACTGTGTGGTCAAAGAGGGCTGCTTCCTAACACTGACATTCAGACCTTCCAGGTGTCTCTGACCAATCATCTAAGGTCGCACTATGAGAGGATACGGGAGCCACTCAGCAGGGTATGTGTTCATGTCTCTGTCTGCTGTTGTTATTTTTGTTATTATTATTATTATTTGGTTGACTTTGCTGTGCTCCAGAGGAGTGGACCGTCACGGCTGATGGACACGTCAGTGGCCAACCCTTTCGAGCAGAACATCAGAGCGTACCACACCATGAACCACTTCCTTGGGTCCATCATTGACCACGTATGTTCAAATTCACAGATATTGACTTTTGACATATTTCATATTTTCATATGAATACAGCTGTCAAACATGTTGCTGTGTTGACTTAGGCCCACCCTGACATGGACTACATAGTGAAGGACAAGCTTATGTTTGAGAGGGTCATAGGAATGGAGTTTCTGGAACCCACTGAAAAAAGCATCTTCTACAACGGTAATGACTTCCTGCTGCAACTCCAACATTTGGATATTTGTGTTTGCTCACTCAGATGTGTAATTGAGTTATAGTTCTTGTACATGAAAGATTTTTGTGTGTCCCACCACAGATGAAGCCCACTCCTTCAGTAATGTGCTGTTTTATGGAAACGAGGCCACGCTGCTGATCTTTGACACTCTGTTTTTCTGTGTTGTCGACCTTGGCTCTCAGAGTTTTGTGCTGGCAGCCGTTCTTACATATGTCCAGCAAATGGTCAGTGTATACAGAGTACTTACTGTACATCACAACATGCTGCCTGCACTTTGCTAAAACCCATGTCCTACTCTTTACAGATTTTTGGATTGATCCGTAACTTCCTTGGAAGAAAGAACCTTGTCAACAAGACCTTGGTGGATGAGAGATTTCTAATATGAAAATATTTCAGATGTCAATATTAGTGTTGTTACTGTTTAGTGGCTTTTTTAACTTCACTTATTTTTTGTATTGTCTTTTTCACCCAAAGTATTTTTTAACTTTTGTTTTATGATGTAAATATTTAATTTTTGTATAGAAAGAGGATGTTTAAATTTTGAATAAAACATTTTGATATGAAGACAAACTTGTAGTTTTGTGTGTATCAGTGTTGTTTTCTGTGTTCAATTATCATTGTTTTTGAGTGTTGCTGTTTGGTTTCAATTTTCCACACATTTTTTGTTATTTATATTTACATTTAAGACCATACTATACAAAATAAATTGCTTTTTTAAATAATGAATCGCGGTATTTGTTTAGACATGGTAGACTTCACTTGGCTATCATATACTAAGGTATAGTCTTTTCTGTGTTCTGTCGGGGCTGCGGTTGTAACGTTGTGTAACTAACTTTTAGAGGGCGTGACTTTACGTTTGTGACGCCACGACGTCGTAAACGTAAAGGTCCCCCGTTTAAGCCAATCAGCGCTGAGTCCTGAGTGCAGCGCTCCAGAATGACAGACAGACTCTCACGCTGGGGCCCGGGGCGGATATATAAAGCAAAGGCAGCAGGAATGGCGTTCAAAAATGTTCTCCGCTGATTGTTAAACAACTTTCGTCTAAGGTGAGTCTACGTTTTGCCCTCTGTGATATATTTTGGAAGTTCTACAGCTTTGTATGTAAGTATTCTTCAGCTATAACGTCAAAGGTAAGAGTGTTAACAGGGAGGGGTAGAACTAGCTAGCCACTGCTAGCATGAATTTAGCTGCCCTGTCCTGGATAACGACTCAGGTCACTTTGGTTTTAGACATTTTATTAGTAGTCTGTAATAAGTCTGTGTCGTGGGATTGTTTCTGGACGTCACTAACAACTC